TAATAGATTTTAGTGTCCTAGGCTCGGTTATAACTGGAACAAGCACCAAGAAAGATTTCAACACGTCTTCAAACAGAAGCCAAGTGTGATTTTCCTGGCAAGCATGGGTTGTCACATGAACAAAGCTCCCGAAAATAGTGTTCTTTTTGTCCCTGTATTCCTAATCGCTTTTAAGAATTCGGACGTGCTAAGTCAGTTACGCCCTGCTGAATTTCGGTACACTCTTGAGGTTTTTTTTATGTAGGCTTGTAAATCTTGTCTTTAGTCTGTGCTATTTATCATTTTATTTCCGTTATTTTCTGTGCACGATGTAAATCTGTATGCGTGGTTCCAACAGGCTCTTTTAATCCGTTTATTGAATCTTAATTAGCGTAAATTGCATTCTGTCGATATGTGGTATGATCTAGGGACACTAAGTAAGAATGTCATTCACATTGGTTTATATAGACATATTTAATATAACTTCGAGAAATCACTCACACATACCTACACACACCATCACTACCACCACACCAACACACACACACACATATATATATATATATATATATATATATACACTAATTAGTTCCTATATGGACCCTACATGAACAAATACATATGCAGTAATGTATGAAATGAAGGATAACTGTAAGTATAATTTGATCATCATCATATAAGGCAAATGCCCCACAAATATATAACATGCCTTCATCAAAATTAAGATTTGATTTTAAATATCTGTTTTTAATAGATATTTGAACTAACAGTCATCAATAATGTGGCTAATATATTTGATATAAATTGTTTTACAACATCCATATATTATACAATTTTAGATAATGTGAAGCTGATGTAATTACAAAATGAGAAAATTTCATTCATACGCGTCTTCATGTACAGTGTAATAGACTGACATGCAATATATACTACGGTAGGGGGTGGGAGGCAATGCATGGTTTAAATAAATATGATTTTGACCACTTGAATGTGGAGTATGTATTACATAATGTATGAAAATTTTGAAAAGTTATTCCAGTTAAGTTAATAAGTATGTGACATAAATATCTTGACCTCAGAATGGTATTTGTCTCATCAAAATAGGATGGGATCGGTTAATATTAGGATGGATGTTCACGAGTTTTAAGTCAATTATTCACTATTAACTGGCAACACATCGTATGTACATATGCATATATAAAATGTTGCTGAGGCTTTCCTGGGTAATAATATAGTTTGCAATAAATTCACAGTTCAAAAATGTTTAAGGTCGCTAAGCAGTCCCGTCATTGCAGTATTATTTGAAATTACTAATCTACACTTTGGCATTTCCTAACTGTTAAGCTGTTTGTTGGGTCTAATTTTTAGTCTGTTAGTTCAATACAATTCATTGAAACAATCAACTGTTAACAACAGCTTTTGTTTGATGATTTATCATCCAAATCAAAATTAAAATAGCCATCAGTAGGCCACAGACAAAATGCACCAAGATATTTGTGGTTTTTTTTATTTTGATTTAAACATACTTATTGACCCAAAATTGAGCAGAGGATTAGGCACAAGTTATTTTAACTTATGACCGCCTTTTCCTCTAATACAATACTTGATAAATATTTACATGATAACATTAACAAGGCATACATAATATATTTAACATTTAGCACATTTTACTTAAAATCTGTTGCTGGATTTGATAAAAATTTGCACGTGTCTGAATACTTCTGTATTGGTGGTTAGGGACAGATTTTCATTTCCAAATAAAAATAGATGTAAATTCACTTGATCTAAGTTCAACATGTTTATACTTTGAAAAAATGATATTCTTACCCTATCATAAAGCTTACATTCTAGGAAAAAGTGCCCAACATCCTCACAGTAATGTCCACAAGCACACGATGTGTTATCAACAATCTTAACACGGAACAAATCACTTTTCAAAGAGCTGCACTGATGTCTGAGTCTCGTATGTAGGCTCCTAATATATTTAGCTTACGTTCGCCAAAATTATAATAAGATGGAGGACAAGAATTAGCGTCATTAGATAAAGAAGATTTAAAAGCATTCAAAGATGGTAATGTTCTTATTGAATTGTCTAGCGAATTCCACAGACGTAAACTTGATGGCAGAAAAGAAGAGAAAAGATATTTGTGTGACGGACTTGTACAAGGGTTTCCTTTTTTTGTTCTTTTATCTATTTTCTTTTTATTTCACAATTAACTGTATCTAAGCACGTGTGGTGATGTTAACTTTCTATTCGACATGATCCGCAAATCAAAAGGATGGAATTAATAGTCGCAGTGGTAATTCATGTTTGTGTAGCCATAGCTAAAGTGAAAGTAGAAAGACCCATATGAAAATACGCAACTAAAGCTAAAGTCCATATCGGACTTCCGGTTTTCCGCTAGGGTAGCAGCATAGATATATAAAGGTTCTTATTAAGATTTTAAAAATAAATCCTTGCTAAAATTGGTCTTGTCATGTTAAAGTGGACAATGTGGGGTTTCATTTTCTTTCGGAATAATATCTTAACTATTTTGGCAATCTCGAATCTGTGTCTACGCACAAAAAAACAGCTTTACAGGAAGTGAAATTTTCATAGTGTTTACATGTGGTCATGTTATGAAGGATTTCTTATTTGGAATTTGCTGAAATGTAAGTAATTTATTACCATGACAGTATTATTGATTTAAAGATAGGTGTTTAGAAATAAATTTCTTCTATAAAGTTGTAGTGTTAGGTTGGAATTAGCAGTTTCCTTGTTTAGCATTTATGTAGTTTATAAAAATATTTACATGCAATGATGTATTTTTCATAACCAAACTGCTATTCCTATATATCCTATCTGTAACATCACTGATAATTTCAGGAAAACGCAAATTAACTGTTCCCTGCTTCCGGGGCGCAGCAATCGTTGATTCAATCGAAGCGAGGTGTTCCGAATGTGTAAATCAAACGACGACAATCTTTCGACACACTCATGTTGAAAAGTGTTCGACGACTGGTCGCTGTAAGATCGGCCCTTAAATCCATCTCTGCAGGTAAGTTACGAGTTCGCTTAATGTTTTGATAGCATTTCTTCACAGTTCAGTGTTTTCTCTAACTGTCACAGTACATAAGATCACCGGAAAGATGATGATTTTTTTGATAATCAGCTGGTCAATTTCAACAAAGCTTGACAACATCATGTTGAACATGGCCCATGCACTGTTGCTTGCGATGTTTGTGTACTGAACGGCTAAAAGTAGTGTTGGTCTATATCTTGACCTGTTGCGGGACCGGACATAACAATGTTTGGAGTGATACGAAGTGGAAGGGAAGTAACTTCGGAAGATCAAAATGTTACCATTAGGCCAGGATTTTATTTTACTTAAAAAGATATAATATTCTTTAATATATATTCAAATACAAATCCTTGTTTTACCTTTAAGTTGCAGACTAGACATACTATGGTTCAAAATGCTGTCACCTACTTGAACATAATCCAGATCTAGTTTGAGATGGATGAAACCTTCACTGTGACACTCTTTTCACTTTTACATTGTCTAACCATAATCTATATACAAACTATATGAATAGGGTAATGGAGCATTTAATTAGTCTAACCTATCAATATCAGACCTTTAAAACATCTATCAAGACAACTGAATCATCTGTATTATCATACCATGTATGAAAAGGACAGGGTACAGTATCAGGCAGTCTGAAACGTTCAGATATTCTTTCTGTAATATTATTTTTGTCTTGGTCTCCCGGTCGATATCGGGATCGATAGTCAGAACCATTCAGATTTAGTATCTGGTTGTACGTGTACATTTTCATAAAGTGTCCATGAATCGTGGAAAGTAAATATATACTGGAAAAACATCAAAAATTGCCAATTTGCGAACTGACCCAGAAAAATGCAAAAGTAATGCAATAAAGGAAATAATGTGCCTGAAAATGGAAGTACTGACTTGCTGGAGTACTCAGATGACCTCTTTTCGCAGATGTTTTAAAACTTAACATTGTTCAACTTACTACAAAAGAAAATGAGATAACAGTATGTTTATCAGCCTATAAATGTAATTAACAAATATGATGATATTTGTATTATATATATAAGATGAAGCTATGAAGTAGGAAATTAAAGCTGAAATCAATATGAAGATTTAGTAATACATTTTCTTAATGGTAATTGATTTCAAACAAAGAAAAAAAAGTATTCCATCAGATCCACATTGTTTTTCTTTCAGCACAGTACACCTACCATAATTTGATTAATCAGTTTTTTTATTTAGTAATGGTTATGTTTTATGGTTTTAGTTCGTCACTGTAGCAGCACTTCTCCACTGGAATATCATTCCAAACCTCTCAGGTTTACTCAGGCCAACATGGACGTAATACTCCTTCCTGCTCTCAAGGACAACTACATGTACCTCATAATAGACCAGGCTACCAAAGAATGTGCTTGTGTGGACCCAGTTGAACCAGAAAAGGTCAGTACAATCATGTATCAGTATTTATCATGTAATGTCATTTTTGTTTGATTTTTCTGATGACTCCATTGCCCCAATTCCCAAATTTTTATGAGTACAAGTCTAGTCACAAAGAAAAATATTTGGTTCTTAAGATTTAAGCGAGTTCCACAAGAAAAGCATAAGTTCAGGGCTGGCATATTTGAATCCCAAAAATCATCACATGTAATTATCCTGTTATCCTATCGTTTGTATTGTGACATCATCAAAGAAACAAATATAAAGTAACGAAACCAGTTGATATCTTTTTATTATAATGAAATGCTATATTCATGAATGTTTTTGCTAAAGTTTCATGATGAACAGAATCTTATATTTGTTTACATTTCAGGTTCTCAATGCTGTAAAAGAAATGGGTGTGAAGTTGACTACACTCATGACAACACATCATCACTGGTATTTATAAAACAAGACATGGTGATCATGTCAATCTGAAATTCACCTTATTTGTATCGCAGTCAATCATTTTTTATGTTATTTTCTTTACCGTAATAAAAATGCTCATTGATTACCGATTTATTCATTTATAATTTTTCTTGCAGGGATCATGCTGGTGGTAACAAAGAATTAGTAAGCAAATGTCCGCAGCTCAGTGTGTTTGGTGGTGATAAGCAGATAGATGGGCTAAAGGAAAACGTAGTTCATGGTGATGAGTTCAAGGTCAGTAAGCACACTAAAGTACGGTATCAGACTTGAGATTTCAATCCATACAGAATTTAAGAAGAAGTGTGAAAAGGAATTGTTCAAATTTTCATTTTCATTTCATTTCATAAATCTCATACTCACTAGAAACAAGTGCCAATATATCAATTTTCATACTAAGAAGATCATTTGCAAACAGTGCTTCAAAATAATAATTGAAAATAGTTATATAATGAAAACTGAAATAGTTGTAATATGCGGTTGGAAAGGTTGTAAAATTTGAACATATACATGAAATGTAATAATGAAAATAAAAATAATGAAAAGACAAAAAAAATTCATAGACTTTATTTATTTATTTTACAACAAAACAAGCTATCAGCATATATTAATCACCCTTAAATTGTTGGCACGGATGCAAACGTGCAGGGAGTCTTACTGTGGCAGGAAACTGTAGTATTCAGGGAAATCCAAATAGTCACACAGGTGACACACATAACTTTTCATTGATACCTGGTGTATATTTCTGTATTGTATTCTTTGACTATAATAAATCATGGATATTGTTTTGTCACGAGACCAATGCATAATGTTCCACCTTGCAGTTCAACAATTTGTTGATGAAAATTAATTATTAGTGCTTTGATAGCTTGGTGAGCTTGCGATTTCTCTGTTTGTTACTTTTTGATCTATAAAGTGTCATAACTAGATTTAGCATTGTTAGAGATTCATTACCTATAAAAAATGTCATAACATCGATGTATACTTTTTATGGTAGTATTGGTAATTGTTTTGAAGAGTCTAGACATTTTTTATGTTTCATTACTTGAACAGATATACTCGTGTTACGTTTCCGTGCGACTAACAAGTGGATTGTAATACTGAATAATAGGTTTTATTTTGGGGAGATAAATAATATATACAATAACATTAGATGGTGATTAACGGGGAGTGGCCTGTTATTCATGGAATGTAATCATTGTAAATAGAGCATCCCTAGTACTTTAAAGTACTTGTGCTTCCTTGATGTCAGTGGGACCGCAGCACTTGACAGCGCTGGCGTATCCACCAATTCCATGCCCTGCCTGTCAGGCCCGTTATCACCCCCATGCCCAGCACATGGCAAGTTACTGCAGTTCTTCCAACATCAAGCTGGTCTCGGCAAGTTGGGTGGTTGTGTACCTTTTCAGGTGAAACAGCTTTGTCCGTCAAGAGGGAAAGGGCCTAGTTACCTGATGATGATGGTTTCTCGTCTACGTGACTCTGCCTGTCGCCGGGCATTGTCCAATCAATGTGTGTCGATTATCTGGCCTAGTTACCTGTAATTAACATTCTTTTATATCCATAACACTACCTGAATAACCAACCATGATCACATTATAGAGCAGAATGAATAAACACATGCCTTGGTCATGTTACAGGTACCTGAACACACGAATAGATACACATTAGACATTACAAATTTACTTCACTCTTTAGTATTGAGACCTGAATGTTGAACAATTATGCTTCGATTATTTGCATATAATTCAAGCTCTCTGCACTATATGATTTAGACCATCCTCACAGGGCATTCAGTTGACCATGACAATTAGCCTTTTCAGAAGTCAAATTACAAATTTTAAGGGTCAAATCATATGTAAAATAAATATATCCATTTAAACCCTGGAATTAAAGCTCAAGTGTCTTCTGAATTCCTGTATTTGTTAATGACATAAACTCTTATCGTTAGTAATGTATTATTTAGTAATCACTGTGTGTAAACGATTTAATTAAAACTCTCCTTATTTGTGTATAAAATTAGACTGTCTTATTGTTATATGATTTTAAGCTCATTCCTAACTCCCATTGCATTGTGTCCATACTTCCCTTCATTCCATATTGTCTGGGCTCTAGCTCCCACACTACCAGTGACTGGAATTTCATACATGGGATGTGGGCCACTCTGACCATTTCGACCTTTTACCTAATTTTTGCCAAAGCTCTTTCTCCCACATCAATAGTCACTGAACTTCACGCTTGGTGAAGCAGTGTGAAGTGTATCAGAAGTAGGTCACTCTGACCTACATTTTGATCTTTAAGGGCTCATCGTATTTGTATGTAATTTTAAAAAAACACAAAAAACGTCATATGTAATTTAAAATTTCTTATTATTTCAGATCGGCCAGTTAAATGTACGATGTTTGCATACACCTTGTCACACAACTGGTCATATCTGCTATTATGTCACTGCAGGTGAGGGCGAAGACCCAGCTGTCTTTACAGGTAAATACAAATTTACAAGTTAAACCATTCCTTTAGATCAAGTGCATTGCAAACAAGTTTAAAATGAGATTGTAGCAAAATAGGAGAAATAGAATAGGATCGGGGACATTGATGGATATCTTAGATGTGTATGCGAATGGTTTATTGTAGATCGCATGTGAGATTTTCTTTACCTTATTAACACAAATATAAAGTGATCTAAACACAAATGTAACAGGTTAAATAACAAAGTAAAAAGGTACAAAACAGTTATGGAATATGATTTCCAGGAAGTATTCCAGTTCATGGGAACAGATCTACCAATGTATGAAAACAGTGTTATAGTTGGTACATGTATATATACATTAAATTTGTAACCAATTTATGATTTCTTTCATCAGGAGACACCCTATTTATAGCCGGTTGTGGCAGATTCTTTGAGGGCACACCAGAAAACATGAAGACTGCACTAATTGACATACTTGGAGAGTTACCCCCAAAAACTGTAATTTTATTTCCAAGATTCAAGAAATAAACTTAAAATCTAGCTGTTCTAGTAACAACTCATTCCTGTGGCTGAGCTGATGTTTGATCACTTATATCCTGTTGTACACCTTGTACATAGAAAATTCATGGTCAGTGTCTTAAAATATAAGCTGTATTTTGGCGCGCCCCTGGCGAAACAATTTTGTCTTTCTGTCTCAATTTTTGCAAAAAATTTCAAAATTTTTCATGTAAGTCCTTAAATGTATCATTTATCTCCATTATCTTTATTTTGAAGAATGTCACTTTTATTGTAATCTTATTTAATTCCTGAAAGCAGAAATAAGACCCTTCAAAATTTTGAACTAAATGTCCCAATATTACAGCAACAAAAGGCATGGCTGATTGTTTAGATACAATCAGCTTTTTTCTCTCACAAAAATTGTTTAGTGTTGTGTAATGAGGAACTGCTATAACGATTTTTACTTCTTGCCTTGACAGAAAGTTTACTGTGGCCACGAATATACAGTAAACAATCTCAAGTTTGCACTAAGTGTGGAACCAAAGAATCAAGACATGATTACTAAAATGGCCTGGGCACAGGTAGGTTAATTTTTGAATGCCACAGATGTGCTTATATTGGGTGCAAGTACATATGTAGGTCAAAGTTGAGAGGTCAAGGACATGACCGGGGCACAGAAAGATGTGACTTAATGTTTCTAATAGGATATTCATGTTAATTATGAAAGGTTCACCTCATTTCAAGTGACCAACCATAGTTGAATCTTGTAAAACTGGCTGGTGTCAGAAAGATCAAAGTTGAATGTTGGGGGAAGGCCTTTAAGGTCACTAGTAGGTCAAAAATGGTTGATTATCAGATCTCCTTTGCACAAGGAGATCAAAGATAAAAATTTAAGTACAAAATCTACTGGGCACATTTGCATGTCAAAGATTTAATGGTTTTGGACAATCAGCTAAAACACATACATTTGTAGGTCAGAGTTCAAGGGACATATATTTGCATGTGTAGCTTGAAGTTTGTTCAAGGTCATATATTCTACATTGTATATGTAGATCTGAGTGTGAGATAGTGTTTAAAACTGAAATGTAAAATTTATTATTTTGACCTAAGATAAGAATTATTTTCTCATATAGTTCATTTACAGAGAATATTATCTTAATGCACTCGATCATAAGTAGATAAAACTTGTATGTCTTAACCAGGATATCATAGGTACAGGGAAGACAAAGCGGAGACAAATTTATCATCCGTAGGAGAAAAATATTTAACTTGAAGATAAGGAATGAGGCAACAATTAAAAAAAGTGATAGCAAGTAAACTAGTTTGTATTTTTTTTCTAGTTTTATTATTTTTCCTATTTTGAATATTAATTTTTAGCCCACCATCATCAGCCGACAGGCAGCCATCTTGGATTTTTTCAATGAAGTTTGTTATTGCTATTTCTTAAGAAGCACTCAATGGATCTTTCTCAGATTGCATATGTAGGTTCCCCTTGGTCCCTAGTTGTGCCCATTTGATTTTGGGACTGATCAAAAAACAAAATGGCCAACAGGCAGCCATCTTGGATTTTTTTCAATGAAGTTTGTTATTGCTATTTCTTGAGAAGTGCTGGATGGATCATTCTAAAATTTAATATTAAGGTTCCCCTTGGTCCCTAGTTGTGCCAGTTTGATTTTGAGTCTGGTCAAAAAAAGCAAATGGTTGAGAGCCATATTAGATTTGACTTTGAAAGTTTGTTATGCTATTTCTTGAGAACTACAGCATAGATCTTTCTCAAATTCCATGTATAGGTTCCTTTAGGCCCCAAGTTCTGCCTATTTGAGTTTTTGATTGACCAGAAAAAACAAAATGGTAGACAGGTTGCCATCTTAGATGTTGCCTAGTAAAGATTGTTATTGCTATTTCTGCAAAGGAATGCTCATATGTCTTATCATTAAAAGCAAAAACAGAGAATAGAAAAGAAAAGAAGGGAAAATATCCAACTTTCAAAAAGCATATAAAAATCAAACAATGGTGGGCACAAAGATCTCTTTGGGATCTCTTGTTCTAACTTGGATATGCTTTCATTTCAGACAAAAAGGAACGAAAACAAGCCAACAATTCCCTCCACAATTGGAGATGAATTTAAATTCAACCCTTTCATGAGAGTCAGGTAGGTGAACGATGTCAACATGGAAAAGTGAATGTACTTATTATATTTACCTTACTTCAGCACCTGATATATACACATACATGTTTACACATTGCACTAAAAATCATCACTGAACTTATATTGTAATTTTTTAAGGGAGTACCTCGAGATATCCTTTCAAAAAATGAAAATCAATAGTAAATCCTAATTTTGGAATTAAAGCAATTTTCATAAATTATGCAGAAAATTTGTTCAACATTTAACATAATTTTTGTAGGTATTGAGTTTTCTTTTGAAGACTATAGTGTCATAATGTCATTTGATAACTGTCTGAATTTGTTTTACTTTTACATTTATAAGATGCAATCCTTAGATTACTCCCAAGTTAATTAAAAAAACAATTAATTGATAGAGAACAAGATTTTGATATCAGTATAAGATTGACTCAAATTGTTCAAAAATTTAATCTCTTTATTTTGAAAAAAAAAAACAAAAAAAAAACAAAAACAAAAACAAAAAAAGACAATTGTGGATTGCCTCTACATGTAGGTTTCAATAGAGAGCAGCTGAAACTTTTGAGATTGACTCAGCTATCATCGAGAAAACAACTGAAAATCTCAAGCTTGATATGTAAAGAGGTTGTCTCCTAAATGTTATGTTAAATAAATGTAATCAATTATTCAAATTTAACATGGGGATCAATATCGCATATGATCTGTCGGCCTTACATTTAGTTACTCATTTTTTTTACATTTTCTATGTAGGGAAGCGAGTGTAATGAACTACACTGGTACATCAGATCCTGTCGAAACCATGGGATTCTTGAGGAAGGCCAAGGATAAGTTCTAGTATGGATAGCTTAAGTCCCTTCATCATTGTACCACCATTTACAAATGAACATATCTTACTTTCATCTTCAATTTGTTTCATTATGTTAACAAATTGGCTGATACATGCAAATCTTAATTCAATTAATGCAAATTTTATCTTAGATCATAAAAGTGCTTTTTTAACTTCGGAAATGTAAAGTTCTAGAATTTCATATTTATGATCTAATGTTTGCTAAAATTGATTGCAATTGATTGTAATGCTGACTTTAACCTGTTAAGACAGAAACCTGTATATTGTGAGAGCCTGTGTATTTGTCACCATTGGCATGTAAGGCTTGAATGCATTTTTGGTGGTGTATATGCTTATATGAATGCATTTAGCAATATTCAGTGGCATGTGTCCATAAGCTGTCAGAGCTAGTTTGGAACTCATGGATTGGATGTGGGTCATATTGATGGATCATACATGAATTAAATTTTATATGAAATTATCAAAAAAGTGTGAGATTCTATTTAATATGAAATATTTGGTGCATTTAGATTTAATGCAAAACAATATATATATATATTTCAGACTGATATCTAAATTACGTGGTCTAGTGTCTTGACTGCTGAACTTTCACTACTGGATATCATATTGAAAGTAGATTGAAGTAAATTTATGTGAATCTGTGAAGGCCCATGCTGTAAACAGAGAATTATTGGAACTTGGTGTCAATCACATCTCCAATATATCTTATTTAACATATGTTAATTATACAATGAATGCAATATATGTTACTAACAAATGATACTGTTTAATAATAATGATATAGGTGTTATAGATATTCAACAGGTAGTAAAGACACCGTAGCAGTAATGGTAAAGTGCAGCAGCTTCCTTATACCACTCTGGTCTCACAGAGTTATTTCCCTTTGTTTGACTCTCTCTCTCTCTCTCTCTCTCTCTCTCTCTCTCTCTCTCTCTCTCTCTCTCTCTCTCTCTCTCTCTCTCTCTCTCTCTCTCTCTATATATATATATAGAGATAAATTTAAGGTTAACAGCCAAGGTGAGGCGAGAATGTCTGATACTGGATACTAGCTGTTCTATAAGTCAAAAGAGAACAGTTGACTTAAATTACTGTAAATACAAAATATCAGTATCAAATGATTACCAGAAACGAGGACAAAAGAGGTATTGAATTTGTATTTTCATTCTTGTTATGTTATTAAACTCTGACCTGTGTTCCAGATAAATGCTCTGTTTATTCATCATGTAACTGTTATACTGTTATAGAACTACTATGTATATACACTGCAGAACAAAATGTTATAATACATTTGAATAAGTCGGATAGTACCATTGTGGTGATGTGTTTATACTACACACTCTTGTATTGTATTTAGTCCGACTTGGATGTCGTAGACAGTGTAATATTTTCAGATGAACATTTACATATTTTGATTTTCTTCAGAAATACAGCTTGAAATTGAAGAAAGTGGTTTGTGTGATATTCTGTTTGAACAGGTTTTATGCTCAAGCATTTTTTTTTTATCCCAATGCAGGTCAAAAACTTTGTACAATATACTTAAACAGTAATAGAAGAGAATGACAATTCATATTTCTAATTTTTTTATGCTCTTTTGATGAGAATGTGAATTTCTTAAAAAAATCTCCAGGCATTGATGGTAAAGTCTATTGCTTTATTTTAGAATACTATTTGTTTGTTTGTGGTTTTTTGTTGTTGTTGTTGTTGTTTAAAATCTATTTCATTTAAATTCCAGTGCTTTAAGGAATATCTACCCCTATTTATTGCAGGCTGCATAAAAGAAGTTACATTCATAAATATTGTAGTATGGTTGACTTTAGTTGTAAAAAAAAGTCAGTTTTAAAGTAGTTAAACTTGCTGTCTTGTGAATAAGCACTAGGAGAAATGAATTCAGTATTTCTGACTTGATTTCAGGAGTCTGATGATATGTTGATAACACATCAGTATATTCAAAAGGAATTTAAGGCTGAAGTGTAGAATTGATCAACCACAAAAATTTGTAAAATAAATTACTACAATAATTTCCATTTTACAGTATATGTAGATCAGTTAATCATAAACAGATAACAGTGTTTGGTAATCAGAAGTTATTTATATGTCCTTATATACTATCAGGTGTCATTTTACTACCAGCTGTGGGTCAGAGGGAGATTTATGGTGAAATTAGCCATTTTATTGTTTTACTCCATATCAGTCAAGATTTAAAATCTTTTACCGAAATAGTAATATCTTATACTCCCTGATGGTATTAAAGAATTATTAAAAGCTATAGTTGCTATGGTTACCTGTTGAAATTTGCAAATGTTGGGGACAATTGGACTTTTTGGATTGTGGACTGATTGGGAATTAAATAGAAAAAGAACAGGTGACACAATTGGTAATAATGTGAGGTTGTACAGTGTACATATTCGCTCTGATCTCATGATTGTTTGTAAGCCTGTTTCTTATTAACATTTTACCATCTTCTATTATCACTAAATATCAGGGAATTATTCCAATTACAACCCCGATGTTTGTCATCCCAAAGGGACAACAAAGACTATTTAATCAACATTAAATTAAGACATTTAAATACCTGTTTTTTTATCTTTATTTTGTCTGACATTTTGTTTTAGTTCAAAAGTATATTGTATATGACACTGTCATTGACACATATACAATCTTAATAGGTTTTCAGTTTGTTAGAGATTTTATGAGTTGTAATTTTTTTAGAATTTTTTTTTTTGTGAACCTTCAAGACAAGTTTCATAAAATCTCATATAAAATGAAAACAAACAAAGGATAGTTTTTATCTCATAACTCAGAAACGTTTCATTTTACAGGTTTTGATGTCCAGTGTTAGGGCCATTTTCAATTTGTGATCTGACATCCTTGTCAGTAATAAGATATCACTTGGGATCTCTGACTGGTGCTTCTAAAGGAAAATGTTTCACTAGTAACACTGGTTATATATGCTATAATATTAAGTTCTCTTGAAGAGATTATAAGTGATTCTAATCCCTGAAAGGTTGAGGATGCACGTGTAGGTGCACAGATCAGCTTCTGTATGAATGGAAAAAAACAAAAGTTTCAATGAAACTGATGAATGTTGCCGGAAAAAGACTTCATTGGACAAAATGTTTTCTAAAAGTCAGTAAGTCTGTAATTAAGCGGTTGCAGGCCCTGGTATACAGCACATTCTCACAGTATGACGAATGTATACACCAAGTTTCATGCTCCTAGTTTTAATGCAAGGAAGACTTTTCTCATGACACAAAATTTTATCAAAGGGCATTAACTCTGTACTGAGGGGTCATGGGCCCTAACTTTGCTTCACAGCACCTTGCTTTTGTATGACTGATGTATTTATTACCTTTCAATATTCTAGTTTAAAATCAGGAAAAGTTGTGCCCCAGATACAAAAAAATAATAACAAAGGCAATAAATCCGAGGTTGCAGGAACTAATATGTTACAATGCACATTGTCTTCATATGATCAATGCATACACCAAGTTTCATTATCCTACCTTAAATGCAAGCAAAGTTATGCTGTGGACAAGTTATTTTGAACAAAGGGCAATAACTCGGTAATTAAATGATCGAAGGCGCAGAATTGGGTACACTGCACATTGCCATAGTGTGATAAATGCACCCACCAAGTTTCATTATTCTAGTTTTAATGCAAGCAATTTTAACACCACTCTAGACACAAAATTTTAACAAAGGGCAATAACTCTGTAATTAATGTGTTGCAGGGCCTGGGTATGGTACACTGCACAAGGTCTTAGTGTGATCAATTTATTCACCATTTCGTTTTCCTAGTGTATGCTCAAGCAAAGTTATATTCTGGACACGAAATTTTAACAAAGGATAGTAACTGTAAGGGATCGAGGGTCATAAATTTTGTACACTGCACGTCCCTTTAGTATGACCTATGTATATACCAAGTTTCATAATCCTTGCTTTAACTGTGAGCAAAATTATGTTCAAGACACGAAAGAACGGTCAAGGCGGTGTCTATATATATATATATGCTCCCCCGAAAATTAAGAAATATACCGAACACGCAAATAAAAAATGAAACAAGAAGGACGCATTCCTTGAGAGCCAGTCATGCTACTTATAATTAAAAAAGAAATACACCCTTACCCGGCAAATACAGTCAATACCGAATCTATGTCCCCGCTTTTCACCTCATGATAGCACGTCACCAGAACACTTATGTTCGTCGGAAGTAGTCGCGGAGACGGAAAACCTGTAGATCAACCAACCAACCTGAAGATAGATTTTATGAACAGGTTTAAAGGTTTTGAAATTAAAAGTTTCGAACAAATTCAATGTGTAATTGGAGGGTAATCCGCTGTACATTGTGCATTCAAATTAATATTGTGATTGGTCATGGATTAAAGGTCATATATGTGCTCTGTTTAAACTTTTGATAGTTTAGAAATACTACTAGAGGATTAAGGAAGTGAAAAGTAGCTCGTAGATGGTGGCAGTAGCGTGACAGACTTGTACCACAGTGAAGGCCAATTTCTGTCGTCACTGGAAACCGAGCCAATGTGTCCACGTGATTTTACTGTTGGCACAATCAAATGTTTCCAACGACACTGATAACAGAAATAAGAAGACAAGTTTATGAATATCTTTGTCGCCAGAACGACAGATCCAAAAGTCTCGTGATATGATTCTTGAAAGGAATGTACCGTTTCTTTTGAGTACATTTATGGAAATGAGAACATATTTACAAATATATCTTCGGGCGTTAGAATGACGTATTCGTGTTCCTGCAGCTAATTTCATGCCCATCTGATTAGTAAAACGTCGAATATATTAATGAAAAAAAAATCACATTCAGGAGCTACAGGGTGCTCATCACACCTGGCTGTAAGCATCCTCGATACTCCAGGGGTTACGATCACTTTCGCTCTCTGCACCCCTCTTAAAGAAGTAAGTGATCTAATCCCTGGAATTCCGAGGTTGCTGGATAAATAACACACACACACACACACACATACACACACACACACACAGACACACACACATATATAAGTATATTTTGTATTTTTACGTATTATTAACATTCTAGGTCAGTCTGAAGAACAACTTGTTTACGTATTCCTAGGAAAAATATGGCTTGGCACTAGGCATGGTTGGATCTCGAACATTAAGATATACAGACCACGAAGGCTGCAATTGTAATTCAATGAAAATGATTTGTTTGGTAATAATTTCTTTTTAAATGAAAAAAAAACAGCTTAAATGCAAAAGTCATAGATACCGAGGCATCTTTTTATGTAACACTTTAATTTTTATGAGTTTTCAAATGTTTTTATAAAAAAAAACAAAAAAAAACTAAACAAAACAAAACAGACACATACACACGCACAAAAGATGAGTCAGCATCTACATAATTATGTTTAACGAATCACACAAGGAAATATGATATTATACAATGCACTCATGGCGATGACCATTCCAACTTTCCCATGACCTTCAACAACGAGCATTAACTGTCAACTGGCAATCGCTTACACAGATCGTGATATACAGCGAATGAGTTACATCATATACACACCATTATGTTTAGATGACGCAAGGATGATATTTTATAAAAATGAAAAAATCGTAATAACAGCCTAGAAATCGTCACTATTTCAAAACTTAGTGGAAAGTTACATTGTGTGACAAATTCGTTTGGAGTCGCATGTTAAATTTGCTATAGTCTGCCTAACTCCGATCAAGAGTCCTTTTGAACCACCTCATTATATTGTTCACAACTAAGATTTGAAAAAAATTACCGGTTGTTCTGTTTTCATAACATTGTAGTGTCAATTTCAGGATGTAATTTGTCTGTTTTTTCTTCAAAATTTGGTTACTTGAAACTTTCAAATATGGCTACCTTCCTCTGTGCAGACGACACTATTTTGAAAACGAAACCTTAGAATTCCACGCATGATCAAATATTCTATTGGTTGCCGACTCTTGAAAGAGTATTACGTCATCTTAATTGGCCCATTTCTGGGCGTGGTTTAACTGTTGGTATATGACTGGCAGTTATTGATGTGAAATTCAAATCTTTAATTCAAAACAACACGAAGATCAGAAACAGGGTGCGTAGGATTATCGGTGGATGTGAATAAGGAACAATAGCAGACCTTTATTGAAAGGTGTCTTTTGTACAATCTTCCAAATTGCAAGAGGCAGACATTGCTGGTGAACTTTTATTCCCCGAGGTTTGTCTAACCTGACGTCACTTTTAACTCGTTCGTGGCACAGTTCAGACTATATATATGATGTTCTGAATGTATCAGATGTATAAAAATTGTCCAATCTTTGTATTGATGTCTTTATAATCTTGTATGTCTTTTGTCCAATCTTTGTATTGATGCCTTTATCCTGTATGTCTTTTGTCCAATCTTTGTATTGATGCCTTTATCTTGTTTGTCTTTTGTCCAATCTTCGTATTTATGCCTTTATCTTGTTTGTCTTTTGTCCAATCTTTGTGTTGATGTCTTTATCTTGTATGTCTTTTGTCCAATCTTTGTATTGATGCCTTTATCCTGTATGTCTTTTGTCCAATCTTTGTATTGATACCTTTATCTTGTTTGTCTTTTGTCCAATCTTTGTATTGATGCCTTTATCTTGTATGTCTTTTGTCCAATCCTTGTATTGAATGATGCTTTTATCTTGTATGTCTTTTGTGTAATCCTTGTATTGAATAATGCCTTTATCTTGTTTGTCTTTTGTCCAATCCTTGTATTGATGTCTTTATCTTGTATGTCTTTTGTCCAATCTTTGTATTGAATGATGCTTTTATCTTGTATGTGTTTTGTCCAATCTTTGTATTGATGCCTTTATCTTGTTTGTCTTTTGTCCAATTTTTGTATTGGTGTTTGTCTTTTGTCCAATCTTCGTATTGATGCCTTTATCTTGTTTGTCTTTTGTCCAATCTTTGTATTGATGCCTTTATCTTGTATGTCTTTTGTCCAATCTTCTTATTGATGCCTTAATCTTGTTTTTCTTTTGTCCAATCTTCTTATTGATGCCTTAATCTTGTTTTTCTTTTGTCCAATCTTTGTATTGATGCCTTTATCTTGTTTTTCTTTTGTCCAATCTTTGTATTGATGCCTTTATCTTGTATGTCTTTTGTCCAATCTTTGTATTGATGTCTTTATCTTGTATGTCTTTTGTCCAATCTTTGTATTGATGTCTTTATCTTGTTTTTCTTTTGTCCAATCTTTGTATTGATGCCTTTATCTTGTATGTCTTTTGTCCAATCTTTGTATTGATGTCTTTATCTTGTATGTCTTTTGTCCAATCTTTGTATTGATGTCTTTATCTTGTACGTCTTTTGTCCAATCTTTGTATTGATGTCTTTATCTTGTACGTCTTTTGTTCAATCTTCGTATTGATGCCTTTATCTTGTATGTCTTTTGTCCAATCTTCGTATTGATGCCTTTATCTTGTATGTCTTTTGCCCAATCTTTGTATTGATGTCTTTATCTTGTACGTCTTTTGTCCAATCTTCGTATTGATGCCTTTATCTTGTATGTCTTTTGTCCAATCTTTGTATTGATGCCTTTATCTTGTACGTCTTTTGTCCAATCTTCGTATTGATGCCTTTATCTTGTACGTCTTTTGTCCAATCTTCGTATTGATGCCTTTATCTTGTATGTATTTTGTCCAATCTTTGTATTGATGCTTTTATCTTGTATGTCTTTTGTCCAATCTTCGTATTGATGCCTTTATCTTGTATGTCTTTTGTCCAATCTTTGTATTGATGTCTTTATCTTGTATGTCTTTTGTCCAATCTTTGTATTGATGTCTTTATCTATTATGTCTTTTGTCCAATCTTTGTATTGATGCCTTTATCTTGTATGTCTTTTGTCCAAACTTTGTATTGAATAATGCCTTTATCTTGTATGTCTTTTGTCCAATCTTTGTATTGATGCCTTTATCTTGTTTGTCTTTTGTCCAATCTTTGTATTGATGCCTTTATCTTGTATGTCTTTTGTCCAATCTTTGTATTGATGCCTTTATCTTGTATGTCTTTTGTCCAATCCTTGTATTGAATGATGCTTTTATCCTGTATGTCTTTTGTGCAATCCTTGTATTGAATAATGCCTTTATCTTGTTTGTCTTTTGTCCAATCCTTGTATTGATGTCTTTATCTTGTATGTCTTTTGTCAAATCTTTGTATTGAATGATGCTTTTATCTTGTATGTGTTTTGTCCAATCTTTGTATTGATGCCTTTATCTTGTTTGTCTTTTGTCCAATCTTTGTATTGGTGTTTTTATCTTGTATGTCTTTTGTCCAATCTTTGTATTGATGCCTTTATCTTGTATGTCTTTTGTCCAATCTTTGTATTGATGCTTTTATCTTGTATGTCTTTTGTCCAATCTTTGTATTGATGCCTTTATCTTGTATGTCTTTTGTGCAATATTTGTATTGATGCCTTTATGTTGTATGTCTTTTGTCCAATCTTTGTATTGAATGATGCTTTTATCTTGTATGTCTTTTGTCCAATCTTCGTATTGATGCCTTTATCTTGTATGTCTTTTGTCCAATCTTTGTATTGATGCTTTTATCTTGTATGTCTTTTGTCCAATCTTTGTATTGATGCCTTTATCTTGTATGTCTTTTGTCCAATCTTTGTATTGATGTCTTTATCTTGTATGTCTTTTGTCCAATCTTTGTATTGATGTCTTTATCTATTATGTCTTTTGTCCAATCTTTGTATTGATGCCTTTATCTTGTATGTCTTTTGTCCAAACTTTGTATTGAATAATGCCTTTATCTTGTATGTCTTTTGTCCAATCTTTGTATTGATGCCTTTATCTTGTTTGTCTTTTGTCCAATCTTTGTATTGATGCCTTTATCTTGTATGTCTTTTGTCCAATCTTTGTATTGATGCCTTTATCTTGTATGTCTTTTGTCCAATCCTTGTATTGAATGATGCTTTTATCCTGTATGTCTTTTGTGCAATCCTTGTATTGAATAATGCCTTTATCTTGTTTGTCTTTTGTCCAATCCTTGTATTGATGTCTTTATCTTGTATGTCTTTTGTCCAATCTTTGTATTGAATGATGCTTTTATCTTGTATGTGTTTTGTCCAATCTTTGTATTGATGCCTTTATCTTGTTTGTCTTTTGTCCAATCTTTGTATTGGTGTTTTTATCTTGTATGTCTTTTGTCCAATCTTTGTATTGATGCCTTTATCTTGTATGTCTTTTGTCCAATCTTTGTATTGATGCTTTTATCTTGTATGTCTTTTGTCCAATCTTTGTATTGATGTCTTTATCTTGTACGTCTTTTGTCCAATCGTCGTATTGATGCATTTATCTTGTTTGTCTTTTGTCCAATCTTTGTATAGATGCCTTTATCTCGTATGTCTTTTGTCCAATCTTTGTATTGATGCCTTTATCTTGTATGTCTTTTGTCCAATCTTTGTATTGATGCCTTTATCTTGTATGTCTTTTGTGCAATATTTGTATTGATGCCTTTATGTTGTATGTCTTTTGTCCAATCTTTGTATTGAATGATGCTTTTATCTTGTATGTCTTTTGTCCAATCTTTGTATTGATGCCTTTATCTTGTATGTCATTTGTCCAATCTTTGTATTGATGCCTTTATCTTGTATGTCTTTTGTGCAATATTTGTATTGATGCCTTTATCTTGTATGTCTTTTGTCCAATCCTTGTATTGAATAATGCTTTTATCTTGTACGTCTTTTGTCCAAAAATCCTTGTATTGATGTCTTTATCTTGTATGTCTTTTGTCCAATCTTTGTATTGATGCCTTTATCTTGTATGTCTTTTGTCCAATCTTTGTATTGATGCCTTTATCTTGTACGTCTTTTGTCCAATCTTTGTATTGATGTCTTTATCTATTATGTCTTTTGTCCAATCCTTGTATTGATGCCTTTATAATGCCTTTATCTTTTATCTTGTATGTCTTTTGTCCAATCCTTGTATTGAATGATGCTTTTATCTTGTATGTCTTTTGTCCAATCTTTGTATTGATGTCTTTATCTGGTTTGTCTTTTGTCCAATATTTGTATTGATGCCTTTACCTTGTATGTCTTTTGTCCAATCCTTGTATTGATGTCTTTATCTTGTATGTCTTTTGTCCAATCTTTGTATTGAAAGAAGGTATCCACTTGTCCTTTTTAACAATCTTAACGACACTGGCAGATCTTTGTAATCGGAAATCTATATAAATGTTCCTCTGGTAAAATAGATAGCACAGTATATGGATTTATTTGAAACAAAAATATGATCGGATTCTGTATACTAGTGTCATTGAATCAGCCATGCCCCTCACTTTGATGTCACATAAAATAAAACAAGACGTTAGGATTCAGTCAATAACGTATTATTAACAAAATATATTGTAATAGGATATTTATGGTGCATGTAAAATTCATATGTAATATATATCTATTGACAAGTGTGGTTTTGATAATCTTTATTCAACAAAATTACTACAATAAATGATTGTATATGTTATGATTAAAAAAAATAATATTAACCTAAATTGCTTTCTCCCCCCCCCCCCCCCCCCCCCCCCCCCCAACCCTTGCTTTTTCTCTTTTTCCCCCAACAACTTCCCCACATATTTGGCAGTACTACATATCACAATCCCCAGTACCAAGCTGGTCGTGATAACCTTTACATTGTCAGTTTATGGGTTTTAATTTATTGCAATGTCAACAACTCTGACGTAATTTATGTGACGTCAGTCATTCGGCTCTGACAACGAACATCTTCGATTTTACTGCATCAGATACTTCAATCTTCTTCGAGATGACCGCAAAAGTAAATCTGTCTGTGCGATATGCTATGGTCCTTTGATAATCGTCATCGTCGTTTTTCCTGATCAGTTTTTCGATACTGTGGATAAACAAAACAAAATTAAGGGCGACAGAAATCATCACTAAATGACTTCATAAATCTCATCACATAAACTGCCTTCAAATCAGAAATATGCAGACTCCACTTGGGACAGATTTTTATAAAAATTTTTATTTGCTTTGAATCTCTAGTTGCTAGACCTTAAATACATTCCATCAAAAGTGGTTTGTTTCAGCATTTCGTATCGCCGTTTGCTTCATAATAAAAGGTTTTGTTTTCGTTATTTTGCCCTTTTTTCCCCTACTGACAAGGCTATATTAAAATGCAAAATTAAAACGCAACTTGTAAATATTATTTTGAAAGTACTGTACTGTATATGATTATTCAAGTGACAAGTTTTAAATAACCTTGTATGGACGCTGTCATAGTGTCGTCACGTGACAGATACAGTTGTAATCTCGCAGTGTGCTTAGATACCTACCATTCTGGTTCTATCACTTCTTTAGTGAAGAGCATCTCGGCCAGACCGGGTAAGACCCTTTCCAGAAATTCTGTCATGGAGACGAACAAATCCCCACTGTCTTCTAAGTCAATCACAAAAGGTTTACCATACCTGTAATTGCGAAACAACACCTGTTTATTATTTCCTTCACAATCAATTTATTTAAATGTTCCTCAGTAAAATCAACCATTTAGAACAGTCCGAAACCCCTCCCGTCCCTAATAATTCCCTAAATGAACTATCCCAAGTAATATCCCTCCTCCTCCCCTACGTTCAAATGGATTTTTATAATTTCAGTTTTTTCAACCATACGCACCCCTCTCCAATGACATCATTGACGTATTGATAGTGAAGATTTAAAGTAAAGAAAAAATAAGTCATTAAAAAATTTACAAATCGAAAAACATACTGTGTATAGATATACAATATATGTATGAATGCCTGTCCCATATACCTAAGAGCTCCTAGTAATGCCTTTCGGATGATCTCTTCCCCCATCTCATGCTGTTCCATTACTCTCAGAACGTTGACATCTCGGTACTTGACGAACGTGCTGAGAACTCCCGAGGGGTTCACTATGTATGGCCACCTGAAGTGCAATATGGTATATAATATTCATAGTTTACAACTTGCCTTAATTTACTCTCTACTCTCTTTCCTATCTTTTCTCATCCGCTGAAAGACCGAAAGGTCGTGATAGTGGACGTAAAAAGCCATTAAATACATAAATAAACTTGCCTTGATAAAACTAAAATTATATGTATGATATATCATATATATTCATTTTCATTATCACTCTCTATGCGAAAACTTAAAAAAAAAAAACAAAAAAAAACACACCTTTATCAACATAGGAAACATATTCTTTTGGAATGAGTTGTAGAGTCATGCAAGATATCATTTTATAAATGTATGTAATAATATCGACAAACTCCATAAGATAAATTCTCATAACTAAAATAACAACGAACCTGAATATCATTGTACTTGAAAATGAATACGACCAGAAAAAATAATTAATCACCTTGGCGATTTCTTGATGACTTCACCAACATCTGATAACAGGAAATCTGGAATGTCTTTCACTTTCATGTCTATTTCTGGCAAAACTCTCGGTTTTGGTGGCTCTGAAAAAATAAAAGTTTGAATTAATAATCTTTCGTCAGTAATGATATGATAGTTTCGAATTTTGAAGTAAACATGACGTACAACATTTGACAACAACTTGCTATCGTACCAATAGATCGGACTTAGCTGTATCTGTCCGGTAATAGGTCCCTGTCTGACAATAAACTGAACACAATCCATTTCAGTGCTTGGTCACATCAGTGTTGTTTAACCTACATTCAACTTGTCAGTCAGATATCATATCATTAACTGAACCATACAAAGTAACTGCGAGAATACCTGTTGATGACGATAAAATGGATGAACTTGCTCACTCTCTGTCTCTCCCCTAGTCCCATCCCACCCCTCTCTGTCTGTCTGTGTCTGTATTGTATGTATTGTCTGTCTGTCTGTTGTCTGTCACTTAGATTTAACAATGTCACTATCGTTATTATGTAATTGATTTCTATAATACGTAAGAAATCACTAATAAGTTGGCAGAACTTATTAATCTCTATGACATTTTATATGTCAATGAATGTTTTAATTGAATTAGATAGTTAGTGGTATTTGTATATCGTCACAGATAATCAAAATGAATGAATGTATCAATCTCTCAGAATCGATAGGAACTTATTGATTTTCCGATCAATATTCTGTATTATTATGCACTACCATACACTTACATATGTTATTAAACACGATAAGAGGGATATAGCAAATAACTTTGAGTTAACTCCCTTGATTTAGTGATTTTGACAGGTGGCCATACTCTCGACTATAGCATTTAGTTATATATACTGACACGCTAAAGAAACGCAATATGTGATTTTATGCAAGAATGTTCTTACTTCATTGAAACTTGTCGTTTAAATTTAACACCTGATACAAGATTGATTGCTTAAAAACAGTGATATATTGAACCGTGTTATGCGATCGGCTTTAGAGGTAACTGATTGGTAACGTGCCGCAGAATCAAAAAGAAGGTGCTCTACTTCTTACTCTGTCGTACGGGCACGACAAGCACGCTAAAATAAATTTTAGGTACAATGAAAATAGCTCCTAGATATTCAGTAATTGGTCCGGTGTTAATGCACTCGACTCTTATGTAGACGTCCGGGGTTCGATTCCCCGACGTGAAGAAGTAGGTGTAATCAATCTGATTAAAATTTTGATAAGATTAATAATGTGTTTTACTTGCGTGACCACGTTTTTTTTTGCCGGGTACAACTTGTTTCTCAGTTGTTATAAAACAAAGGTTATACCTATGTTCAATATTTGACAGAGACCAATTATCTTTGTAGAATATAAACAGTTGATAAAAATCTGTGATGTTGTTTGGACATTTATTTTACTTTATTATGACCTTACCTTCGACTGGCTTACTGGCGGGTGGAGCCTTCGCTGGCCCCGCGCCCTTAGCTGGCCCCGCGCCCTTAGCTGGCCCCGCTCCTTTAGCTGCCCCCGCGCCCTTGGCTGTCCCTGTGGTTTTGACCCCTCCAGTAGACTTCGCTCCTCCTGCAGTAGATTTAGTAGCAGGCTTGGCTGCAGTTTTCGTTGCTGTTGCGGTTTTTTTAGGGGGCATTTTTACTGTCGTCTGCTCTTTGCCTGTGTGTTAATTCGAGTGAGATATTTTGCTTAAATCCAGTCCTAAAGAGGATTTTCCGTTGAAGAGAATCTCCCTTTCGAAAGCCAGTTGTTGGCTATTTCGAGGTATTTCCAAAGAAGACTCACATTTCGTTCTCATTATTGACCACTGACTTTGACAGGGGGTTTACACACAGACATGTGTACACGTGTGTACTCAGTAGGTATATATTTAACTCATCGATTTAAGCTGTTTGTTATATGGGGGTTTCCAGTGGCAGAGATAGATCATTCTGGTATATTAAGTGATTAATTTACGGTCATTGTGTGAAGATTAGAAAAGATTATTTGGGATCAACATCGGTATTTCCGAATCATTTCTGACCAATCATTGTATGTGAAATATCGAGCCCGCTGACCCACAGGTGTGTTTACACGTTACCAAGGACGCACGTATGTAAACATATGGGATTTAAGTCGTGTAAGTGGCTACGCTATTCTATGTTGTTTACTTTAGATTTTAAAGTAATGACGAGTGAAATTAACGGAAATCCAAGGTGGCACTAGATATGCGTATGAAAATGATTAAATACATCACTTCGGAATTCTAAGCTATTTTGGTATTAATATTCGATGTCAATGCCCATACAATAATGTATGTATGACTAAAAGTAAGGGAAGTTTTTCCCTCTGTGTTTGATATAAGTCTTTAATTACATACTTACTGACTATATATATATAAATATATTAAATAAAAAATCATCCTGACCGATACTTGTACACGTGACTCGATCACAAGGTGACAAACTGCATGTATACAACATCTGCAATATACACTTATTCTGTCCATCAAATATTAATCTAAACGGACATTGTTAAAATGGGTATTAACGGTAATCACTGTACATATTCAGGGTAATCACTGTACATATTCACGGTAATCACTGTACATATTCAGGGTAATCACTGTACATTTTCACGGTAATCACTGTACATATTCAGGGTACTCACTGTACATATTCAGGGTAATCACTGTACATATCCAGGGTAATCACAGTACATTTTCACGGTAATCACTGTACATAATCACTGTACATATTCAGGGTAATCACTGTACATATTCAGGGTAATCACTGTACATATTCAGGGTAATCACTGTACATATTCAGGGTAATCACTCTACATATTCAGGGTAATCACTGTACATTTCAAAGGGTAATCACTGTACATATTCAGGGTAATCACAGTACATTTTCACGGTAATCACTGTACATAATCACTGTATATATTCACGGTAATCACTGTACATATTCAGGGTAATCACTGTACATATTCAGGGTAATCACTGTACATATTCACGGTAATCAATGTACATATTCACGGTAGTTACTGTACATATTCAGGGTAATCACTGTACATATTCAGGGTAATCACTGTACATATTCAGGGTAATCACTGTACATTTTCACGGTAATCACTGTACATATTCAGGGTAATCACTGTACATATTCACGGTAATCACTGTACATTTTCACAGTAATCATTGTACATATTCACGGTAATCACTGTACATATTCAGGGTAATCATTGTACATATTCACGGTAATCACTGTACATATTCAGAGAAATCACTGTACATATTCACGGTAATCACTGTACATATTCACGGTAATCACTGTACAAATTCAGAGTAATCACTGTACATATTCACACTAATCACTGTACATATTCAGGGTAATCACAGTACATTTTCACGGTTATCACTGTACATATTCAGGGTAATCACTATATATTCACGGTAATCACTGTGCATATTCAAGGTAATCACTGTACATATTCAAGGTAATCACTGTACATATTCACGGTAATCACTGTACATTTTCAGGGTAATCACTGTACATATTCAGGGTAATTACTGTACATTTTCAGGGTAATCACTGTACATAATCAGGGTAATTACTGTACATTTCAGGGTAATCACTGTACATATTCACGGTAATCACTGTACATATTCAGGGTAATCACTGTACATTTTCACGGTAATCACTGTACATATTCAGGGTAATCACATTACATTTTCACGGTATTCACTGTACATAATCACTGTACATATTCACGGTAATCACTGTACATATTCACGGTAATCACTGTACATATTCAGGGTAATCACTGTACATATTCAGGGTAATCACTGTACATATCCAGGGTAATCACTGTACATATTCAGGGTAATCAATGTACATATTCACGGTAATCACTGTACATATTCAAGGTAATCACTGTACATATTCACGGTAATCACTGTACATATTCACGGTAATCACTGTACATATTCAGGGTAATCACTGTACATATTCACGGTAATCACTGTACATATTCAGGGTAATCACTGTACATATTCAGGGTAATCACTGTACATATTCAGGGTAATCACTGTACATATTCAGGGTAATCATTGTACATATTCAGGGTAATCACTGTACATATTCAAGGTAATCACTGTACATATTCACGGTAATCACTGTACATATTCAGGGTAATCACTGTACATATTCAGGGTAATCATTGTACATATCCAGGGTAATCACAGTACATTTTCACGGTAATCACTGTACATATTCAGGGTAATCACTGTACATATTCAGGGTAATCACTGTACATATTCACGGTAATCACTGTACATATTCAGGGTAATCACTGTACATATTCAGGGTAATCATTGTACATATTCAGGGTAATCACTGTAAATATTCAGGGTAATCACTGTACATATTCAGAGTAATCACTGTACATATTCACGGTAATCACTGTACATATTCACGGTAATCACTGTACATATTCAGGGTAATCACTGTACATATTCAGGGTAATCACTGTACATATTCACGGTAATCACTGTACATATTCACGGTAATCACTGTACATATTCAAGGTAATCACTGTACATATTCAGGGTAATCACTGTACATATTCAGGGTAATCACTGTACATTTCACGGTAATCACTGTACATATTCAGGGTAATCACTGTAAATATTCACGGTAATCAATGTACATTTTCACGGTAATCACTGTACATATTCAGGGTAATCATTGTACATATTCACGGTAATCACTGTACATATTCAGGTAATCACTGTACATATTCACGGTAATCACTGTACATATTCACGGTAATCACTGTACATATTCACGGTAATCACTGTACATATTCAGAGTAATCACTGTACATATTCACACTAATCACTGTACATATTCAGGGTAATCACAGTACATTTTCACGGTAATCACTGTACATATTCAGGGTAATCATTGTAAATATTCAGGGTAATCACTGTACATATCTGTACATTTTCAGGGTAATAATCACTGTACATATTCAGGGTAATCACTGTACATATTCAGGGTAATCACTGTACATATTCAGGGTCATCACCGTACATATTCAGGGTAATCACTGTACATTTTCACAGTAATCACTGTACATATTCACGGTAATCACTGTACATATTCAGGGTAATCACTGTACATATTCACGGTAATCACTGTACATATTCACGGTAATCACTGTACATATTCACGGTAATCACTGTACATATTCAGGGTAATCACTGTACATTTTCAGGGTAATCACTGTACATATTCAGGGTCATCACCGTACATATTCAGGGTAATCACTGTACATTTTCAGGGTAATCACTGTACATATACAGGGTAATCACTGTACATATTCAGGGTAATCACTGTACATATTCACGGTAATCACTGTACATATTCGGTAATCACTGTACATATTCAGGGTAATCACTGTACATATTCAAGGTAATCACTGTACATATTACATATTCAGGGTAATCACTGTACATATTCAAGGTAATCACTGTACATATTCACGGTAATCACTGTACATATTCACGGTAATCACTGTACATATTCAGGGTAATCACTGTACATATTCAGGTAATCACTGTACATACATATTCATTCGGTAATCACTGTACATATTCAGGGTAATCACTGTACATATTCAGGGTAATCACTGTACATATTCAGGGTAATCACTGTACATATTCAGGGTAATCACTGTACATATTCAGGGTAATCACTGTACATATTCAGGTAATCACTGTACATATTCAGGGTAATCACTGTACATATCAGGGTAATCACTGTACATATTCATTCAGGGTAATCACTGTACATATTCAGGGTAATCACTGTACATATTCAGGGTAATCACTGTACATACATATTCAGGGTAATCACTGTACATATTCAGGGTAATCACTGTACATATTCAGGGTAATCACTGTACATATTCAGGGTAATCACTGTACATATTCAGGGTAATCACTGTACATATTCAGGGTAATCACTGTACATATTCAGGGTAATCACTGTACATATTCAGGGTAATCACTGTACATATTCAGGGTAATCACCGTACATATTCAGGGTAATCACTGTACATTTTCACGGTAATCACTGTACATTTTCACGGTAATCACTGTACATATTCAGGGTAATCACTGTACATATTCAGGGTAATCACTGTACATATTCAGAGTAATCACTGTACATATTCACGGTAATCACTGTACATATTCACGGTAATCACTGTACATATTCAGGGTAATCACTGTACATATTCAGGGTAATCACTGTACATATTCAGGGTAATCACTGTACATATTCAGGGTAATCATTGTACATATTCAGGGTTTATCACTGTACATATTCAGGGTAATCACTGTACATATTCAGGGTAATCACTGTACATATTCAGGGTAATCACTGTACATTTTCACAGTAATCACTGTACATTTTCACGGTAATCACTGTACATATTCAGGGTCATCACCGTACATATTCAGGGTAATCACTGTACATTTTCACAGTAATCACTGTACATATTCAGGGTAATCACTGTACATATTCAGAGTTTATCACTGTACATATTCAGGGTAATCACTGTACATTTTCACGGTAATCACTGTACATATTCAGGGTAATCACTGTACATATTCACGGTAATCACTGTACATTTTCACGGTAATCACTGTACATATTCAGGGTAATCACTACATATTCAGGGTAATCATTGTACATATTCAGGGTAATCACTGTACATATTCAGGGTAATCACTGTACATATTCAGGGTAATCACTGTACATATTCAGGGTAATCACTGTACATATTCAGGGTAATCATTGTACATATTCAGGGTAATCACTGTACATATTCAAGGTAATCACTGTACATATTCAGGGTAATCACTGTACATATTCAGGGTAATCACTCTACATATTCAGGGTAATCACTGTACATTTCAGGGTAATCACTGTACAAAGGGTAATCACTGTACATATTCAGGGTAATCACTGTACATATTCAGGGTAATCACTGTACATATTCAGGGTAATCACTGTACATATTCAGGGTAATCACTGTACATATTCAGGGTAATCACTGTACATATTCAGGGTAATCACTGTACATAATCAGGGTAATCACTGTACATAATTTCACGGTAATCACTGTACATATTCAGGGTAATCACTGTACATATTCAGGGTAATCACTGTACATATTCAGGTAATCACTGTACATATTCAGGGTAATCTGTACATATTCAGGGTAATCACTGTACATATACAGGGTAATCACTGTACATATTCAGGGTAATCACTGTACATTTTCACGGTAATCACTGTACATATTCAGGGTAATCACTGTACATTTTCAGGGTAATCACTGTACATATTCAGGGTAATCACTGTACATATTCACGGTAATCACTGTACATATTCAGGGTAATCACTGTACATATTCAGGGTAATCACTGTACATATTCAGGGTAATCACTGTACATTTTCACGGTAATCACTGTACATATTCACGGTAATCACTGTACATATTCACGGTAATCACTGTACATATTCAGGGTAATCACTGTACATTTTCAGGGTAATCACTGTACATATTCAGGGTAATCACTGTACATATTCAGGGTAATCACTGTACATATTCAGGGTAATCACTGTACATATTCAGGGTAATCACTGTACATTTTCACGGTAATCACTGTACATATTCACGGTAATCACTGTACATATTCAGGGTAATCACTGTACATATTCAGGGTAATCACAGTACATATACACGGTAATCACTGTACATATTCAGGGTAATCACTGTACATATTCAGGGTAATCACTGTTCATATTCAGGGTAATCACTGTACATTTTTTTAATCAGTACATTTTCGGTAATCACTGTACATTTTCACGGTAATCACTGTACATATTCAGGGTAATCACTGTACATATTCAGGGTAATCTCTGTAAATATTCAGGGTAATCTCTGTAAATATTCAGGGTAATCACTGTAAATATTCAGGGTAATCACTGTACATATTCAGAGTAATCACTGTACATATTCACGGTAATCACTGTACATATTCACACTAATCACTGTACATATTCAGGGTAATCACAGTACATTTTCACGGTTATCACTGTACATATTCAGGGCAATCACTATATATTCACGGTAATCATTGTACATATTCAGGGTAATCATTGGCGTGCGGGTCGTGCTAATACACGTGTCCTGGTACCCGGGTCCGTCATTCAAGTGACTCGGGTAGCGCGGTGCACACGCAATTTTTTTTGTTTTTCGTAGGTGTAAGGATTTTTTCTTGTAAGCTTATTAAGTTTTGTTGGAAGAATATTAATAATATTAATCAATTGAAATGAATTTTGATCATTTCGTTTGGTATTCAATGCAAACCAGTATTTAATCATTGAAGTTGTTTTCAAATGTAAGCAAGTTGCGCGTGCTTATGAAGAACAATACATGTTTCTGTTAAATGATGAGTCAATAAATCCTGCGGTACCCTCTGTCGCTGTGAAAATACAGTTAATGGTTGTTGTTATTATTATCCTATTGGATAATTAAAAGGATAATTTTTTATAACTTCATAGCACCACGTTTTACCGCTGGTCAGAATCTGGTTTGCAAAGAAGTAGGAACATGTATGTCTTAAACAGGAATTTTATATTTATCTCTTTAATCACTATTGATGATGCATGATTTATTTGTTTGTTTTCTTTTTTTCCATTTTAGCATGTTTTGAATTTTCTATTTCACTTGGTTATCAAGCCTTTACATCATTTGTCTTATCTTGAAACATTTCTTAATTCTACAACAATGCTGTAGTAATAGACTTTATTATTTTTTTTTACATTCGCCTGCTAATTGAACTATTCAGATAATATCACTTGTTTTAATTAAGTAATTAAGTCTCATAGGCGTTTTATTTTTTATTGTTTTTTTTTTTCGTTTTTGCTGTTAATGATTATCATAACACGAATTCCATTCAGGGAATTTGTAAGTTGAAAATTAAATCCTTAATTGTCCCGACGGACGAAATATAACTGATGCAACCGGTGTGCTCGCTATGATAACTCAATGCCATGCAGTGTCTGCACCAGGGATAGCAATAACAATGTTCCAAGCAAAGATAGTTTTAGGCTTCCCGGAAAATTATCGTTGATTCGAAGTAAGTATACACAAAATTTAACACTCCAGTTAAGACGACGAGGTTTTTGTTTAGCGAAAACACAATTACAAAAATATACCACACATAACATTTTAATTCAAAATGTGACTGAAAACATCGCAAAATCACTGAACAGTTTTGCACAAAATACATTGATACAATATTGCCAGAATTACGATGATCTCCCTTGTTAGAGGTCATACTGTCCTCCATTATTCATATAAGTTGATACCATAAAGACGATTAACCTAGCCCCCCCCCCTCCCCTTGATCATAGTACAAAACAACAACACGTCATATTGCTGTATTGCTCTATGACGTCACTCATTCTACCCTGACCACGAACATCTTAGATTTAGTCTCGTCAGACACCTCTTCTTTCACCGTTATCACAGAAAAACTAAATCCATCTTGCTTGTAAAAGATGCAGTTCTGGTAATCCTCTTCGTCAGTAGTCTTTATTAGTTTTTCAATACTGCAATTAAACAAAGATATAAAATTCGATAAAGGCCTAATTGACATTCGAGTGAATCTAAATTGTGCAGTCATATCATGTTTAGTTTTGAATAACCTATGAAAGAACGAAAAAAATATGACATAACGAAGGAAGATAATTTCTAATTCGTGGTCTGTCCAGGCCTCGAACTCACAATCTGCGGCACCTAATCGCCTAGCCAAGAAATTTCCAGACTGCCTAACCATCACACCACAACGACATCCCCAAAAAAAGGATGACTGGCATTAAACATACCATTCTTCTTCCAGCACTTTCTTTGTGAGTATTAATTTGGTTAGATCAGGTTGAATGCGGTCCAGAAACTGCTCAATAGAGGAAGTCATATCCATATCCCCCATATCAAAGACAAGAGGTTTTCCATATCTATAAATAAACATGTTTGTGATGTCATATCAAAGACAAGAGGTTTTCCATATCTATAAATAAACATGTTTGTGATGTCATATCAAAGACAAGAGGTTTTCCATATCTACTAATAAACATGTTTGTGATGTCATATTAAAGACAAGAGGTTTTCCATACTATAAATACAAATACTTGTGATGTCCTAATTATGACGATATTTTTCAACATCAAAATTAATTAAAAATATCAGTAATTATGTTATTACAATACTGACATACTAATTAACCTAATAACATAAGCACATCACTTATGTTAACGATTTTTTTCGAAACAAATTCAAAGTCGAGTCATGAAGATCATGTTTACTGACTTACAAAAGAGAGCTTAATTGAAGTGGAATTAGCTATTTTTCTGTTATTAACAACATGTAAACCAGTATTACTGATCGTTGTCGTTCCTCCGCAGAAAGTGAGAAAACAAACAAAACAAAGCTTTTGATGAAATGGCTGAAACATATTTTCCTGGTCAGTATCCTTTTTACAAATACCTGAGCGACCCTAGCAATGCCTTTCGTATCCTCTCGGGATCCATGTCATCCGAAGTCATGACCTCAAGGACATTAACATCGCTGTATCGGAGTAACCTTTGGACGACTCCAGTGGAATCAACGATATACGGCCACCTGGAGGTCATAAAGTAGAAGTGAGCCATTCGGAAACCCCTGGATCTGTAGTTTCGGTTTATTGCTTATTATTATTATTTTTTTTTAAATTTTTTGACGCAAATAACGATATTGGTAAGTAAAATTTGTACCGCCTCTTGATAAGTTAGGTTGAGAGCACATCATATATCAACACACGAATATACTGTATACCGGGGGAATTTTTCGTCCCCGTTTTAACATTCACCCTCTTCGTCCATGGACAGCGACGGCTTATTAAAGATAGGGACGTGAATTTGTTTGACTTTTATAACCCTTTTATATAGCCCTCAGAAGGCGAAATGAATGTGAGGTGAATAAAGCTGGCGCGAAAATATCGCGGTATGCTGTATAACAGTTGTGGAAACGCACAGCGCGCATCATCATCATCTCTTTTATTTCTCAATTGTGAGATTCATAGTAAGTATTATAATGTATTATAATATATACATGCTACATCGTGAATCAATTACATGTATTATAGTAGTATACTTTGTACATAAGTATGTGAAATGTTGCCGTTTGTCCTTACAACTGAACTGTATACAGATGTATCATTATTTAGTAAACACCCCCTACGTGTAATACCTCTTAACAGAAGCTTCATACTCGCAATTACTGTTACATTATACTAACATACACAATATAGATATAAATATTGACTGATGAACCGTCACTGATCCATATTAACAAATGTGTAATAATAACATATTGTGAGGCTCTACTACTAAAAATGATATCTTTATATTAATCAAGTGAGGTCGTTATAAAGGTCATTCGGTACAGTTTGTGTTGGAACGCACGGACAAAAGTAGCGTACTCCTGAAACCTTGAGATCAGTGTGTCTTTCTTCTGATATGCCGAGTTGTCTGTATATCTCGGTAGTGTTACCTAAAAATACCTGTAGCATTTGCTCCTCAGGTAAACAAATATCAAACATACAGTTCCATAGGAAATGTGTCTGTCACAGTTTCCTAATAACTTGCTGTATGTTTAACAGCAGATTGACATATCTTAACTAAATGTAGTGTTAAATCATTGTATTCATCACCACAAGAGGTATTGATACTCGTCAATTTTCAATTTATTTGATCTTACCAGAAATACATAGCTAAACTCACGGAGGAAAATAATCAACTGACTCGTATTTGCGATTTATTTTCAAACTGAATATTACCTTTCATATTTCTTTCTGATTTCATCAGCGCTGTTTGTAAGGAGAGGTATGATTTTTTTACCTTCCAACTTTACTTCTGGCAGTGGTGGTCCTTTAGGTGCTTCTGAATGTAAAACAACAAAGAAAATAATCAACAGAATCAAAGGCTTAATTCAAATTCAATAAAACTAGGGCAAAATACGAACAAAAGAAAGGTTACTCGGATATTCATAAAAACACCAGGAGAATAAGACCATGTGTTCTGGAAGAGTAAGCGTAAACAAAGTTTGTATCTATAGTTAAGTTTCCCGTTATAACTTTCGACGTTTTGTGGTGAAATCCGAAATATCTTGAAAAACTCGTGTAAATTGAAGTCTGTGACTCTGTATTTACCTAGGTGAAGGGGAAACCGCTAATCTAAATAGTGACCAAAGATCTATTGTGATTACTTAACTTCAAGAAAGTTTGAAAAAATCTTCTTTTGATATTCACCAACCACAATCTATCAAGATTTCCGAAGGGTGATCATGATTCGTCTCGTTGAAGAGTATACGGTCTTGTCATTACCAACCCCAATGGTTGTAAATTCATGTTGTTTTTATAACTAGATCTTATATGAACGTAGTTTAAATGCGAAGAGACATGTAAGATTTACAAATAGAAAAAAGCCCAATTGAAGTTTTGTTTTTGGAACTATTTTGTTGTCATGCGGTTTCGTACAGAAAAGTATGACTGTTCGATTGAACCCTCCACTGTGGAGATGATGTGTATACAATACTTTGTTAATGTTTTATGAAAGTGTATCAATCTGTGTTTACATTGTGGTAACTTCATATTACCGTTAGCCCACCAAGTAAAAACGAACAGATAATACAACTTGTTGTAAAATAAATCCATGAATGTATTTTCAACTATATGTCACTAGTCATCATATGACCAGGAAGCAGCAATCAGGATTTTAACCCGTAGACTCTTAATCAAATATCTACAACAACAGTTACCTAGACCAGGGTAAGGAATGATCGTGTAATGTTTCAGAAATATTTCTGTAATACTATCAAATCATCAAAATTGTATAAAAAAAAAACCACACACACAACTTAATAACACCTTTTAATACAGCAGAACAGTTGGATACAGCAGAGCCAAACCATGAGTTAAACAGCATCATATAGCTGAACATTTTTGTAATTCAGGTCGGCCTTACAATATTTTAGAAACTCTCAAAGAACATTTTTGTAATACAGGTCGTGATGGTCTTAATTGTTCTAGAAACTATCAAAGAACATTTTCATAATATGGGTCATGATCGCACGGCACAATATTGTTTAAGACAAACAAATATGAATGCACCGAAATGCTTTCCTACATTGTAAATGGTAGACAGATTGTTATGAGGAGCACGAATAGAATTTCTCTTGTCCAGAGCTTGCATCAAGTATATATACTTTAAAAGGAATCTTCATCAATGATTAAAACAGTCGGAAAAGGAGCATATTTTTGATTGCCTGGCATGATTATAAAGTATACACATGTTCTGGTATTTCAAAAGTTTTCATAATTATAATGTCACTAGTTTTTTTTATTCATTCAATGTTGAATATATTTGTCATTGTACCTTAATTAATATGGGTCCTTGTTATTAACAGGTTATATGAATATGGAGTCATAATGGAAATTATAGTACATCGTATGTGTGCGTGAAAAGCAATTCATGTGTTTAACTGTAAGATATATTCTTAGATCAATCCATAAGTGCTTTTAGAATAAACGGCTTTTTCAAAACGTCACATATTTTCACGTCCCCGTAACGTTGGTTTGAATTGGTTTTGCGATATAATAAAGATTTCTTTTGTTGAATTTAAACTCACATTTAGTAAAGGTAAAATACTTAAATGTTTCACAAATAATGAAAATCTGCATTTTTTGTTATATCTGTAAGGTTGAGAGTTGAGTTTGGTAATTCCTTAAAATTGAATCTCAACGCTATTAACATAGCAACTATCTATACGATATGCAAGATTCACTTCCAAGGGCTCTCAAATTAATTTGATATAAAAAAATAAAGAGTACCCCTTAGAATATTCCATTGTATCAAAAAGATCGATTTCATAAAATCGTTCTTCACCGACAAACAGTTATCTCTTAATACATCAATATCTCCAACGTATGATAGAATTACATTCAATTCCAAGGTCATAGACATAGGGCGAATACACTTACTGATAACAGACGACTCCGTTTTAATATATATACAGTTTGCCTACTAAAATACCCAGAAAGATATAATCTACGTCAGTTGACTTTTAAAAGCTTTTTAAATCACTGTTAGAATATAAGCTCAAACATGTAATTACCTTAGCGGGTGTTCATAACAAACTATATCATCCAAAATGCCTTTTTGATATTCAGTTAACTCCAGCTACCATGTACTATCAATTATTTGAATGACAAATTTCAGAATCACCCATGTTCACACAGGACAAATTGATATTTCTGAACATTATTTTTAGATTGGTAATGTCAATAAAAAGTGTTTATAACACAACCAGTAGAAGATAAGAGTGTGACGTTCTGATGACTACACAGTCACCTTCATCTTATAACACAACCAGTAGAAGATTAGAGTGTGACGTTCTGATGACTACACGGTCACCTTCATCAGACAAATAACCAGTGTGGAGCGAACTAGCACTGACGAACGAAGTGTACCAACGTTTTCGGTTGTACCAAAATCCTATTAACCTTGGGGTCGAAAACAGTGTGACGAGATGGTAAATAGATATAGACCAAAATACACGATACGGTAACAATTTTCTATAGCCTATTCTGCTACGCTTATTCATTCTATATTCTGTTCATATTTAAAAACACCTCGACATAGAATGTGCCTTGTAAATAAAACATGTCATGTATTATCGAGGGTAGTTGAGTTAATTTTCTTGCGAGATCTTAATTTCCAATGAAATTGTTATTATAATAATCCTCCAAACGAGTGACTGTTCAAGCTGTTTCGATGTTTTATGTTGTAAATAATACACCTATGATTATGTAGTGATCCTCATAGTAGTACAATCACAGTCAGAACTCTATATCTGACTGCTACTTAGCGTTCGCAAGGGTACAAACCTAGGTGCTTCGCGTTCGTAATGTCGTTGTCATTCAGTCAAATATGCAATATCTTATATATTTTCGCTCCCTACCTGCGACTGGTTTTGGCTTCGGCTTCGCTGCGCCTGCGCCCTTTGCAGCACCACCTTTTGTAGCGGGCTTCGCTGCCGTTTTCGTTGTTGCCGGTTTCTTCGGTGGCATTTCGCCCTTGTCGTCTGCTCTGGGTAAAGTTGGTTACCTCTTGTGATGGACAGTATGTACTGGGATCGTTATATAAACTCTTCCGATGAGGTTTTCCTGTTAATGTGAATCCCCTGTTCACTCCCTGTATTGACTCAGAATGATCGTTCACTATGTGTAGTCTCTGCCAAATTACAGAATTAAAGTGTATGAGATTTATAAGTGTCGTAAAATAAGCTATGGCGTTCTGCTGACTAACAAGTACAATGGGATTTCCATAGGATCTTTAAAAAATGCCAGGCGGGATAATTAAATGGTTTTACTATCAGGGACATAAGATACCCTTAGGAATAACAATTCTCCTATCATGACGTGTACGTAATCTAATTCGTGATTAGTAAGTTAAGGTTAATATATATTTTCACAATGTAAATCATTTGGTGACTCAGGACTTAAATCTATCATGTATATACTATAATTAGAGTGCTTACAGCAACAAGTATAACAACGAATTCGATAAAAGCAAAAAGACTAACAGACGAAACACCAAAGAAAAAGAACAAAACGAAAGGACAAGTAGTCCTACCTTACATCAAAGACCTGTCAGAAACCATTCAGCGGATTTACCATAGTTTTTTATATTGACTCAACTCCATCCATAAAGAACGCCGCAGAATGCGAATACAAAATCGGATGCAAGAACTGTGATGCATCGTACACTGGAGAAACTGACAGGCGGTACATCGAATCACCGAAACGGACCAAAACAGACCGAAACGGACCGAATCGTACCGAAACGGAACCGAAACGGACCGAAACGGACCGAAAAAAAATATAAAAACAGTATTGTATATTTTAATCAGTATTTAACCTAAATTTTAGTAGTATCTCAATACTTAGATGTGTTCCAAATGGGGAGCATATGTTTTACAGAGAATATTGATATTTTAAGATTAAATCACAAGCTTATCATCTGTCAATACTACATTACATACTAGAAAATTTCTTACATTGATCACAAAAGTAATGTCTTTCATAAGTATCTAAAGTGAATCTTTTTCACAATGTGTATTATATATATTTAGTAGTGTCAGTATTTGGCTGGATATTTTTTATATTGATGTTTTCTGCATTTTATTTTACGGTCTTTCAACATGGGACACATTAATAAAATAAGCATTTTTTCGTATGCTTCTTTGTGATGACTTTGCGGTAACCACTGAAACAATGAAAGGCCATGCCTTCTGTAATTGTTACACGCGTGGGTGTTGTGTAGACAGGTGAGACATGTTTGTTTAACAATAACTGAAGGCACGCGTCTATAGTTTGACGGTTGAGTATTTCACACCTTAGTCACTTAACCCGCGCGTGGCTAAAACCTTTGAGGTGGATACGGTACAGAACAATTACCAATCATTTGTTTAATGATATTCCAAAGTAAACAAATTAATGAAAAGGCTTCTTAGGTAAAATAAAAAATTGTTTGGCCGGTAATTATTTCACACATTTATGATTTTATAATATAAACAAATTAAATGGAAGGCTTATGTCTAAAAAAAACTTCGGAATTTAAAGAATTCCACCAATCATATTTAAGAACCAAATGTTAATTGTACAATACGCTATAAATTATCCTACACCTTCCACATCAAATTCACCATGGTTCGCAAACGAGTGCAGTGGCCTTGTGGGAAATGTAAAAAGGAAACCCACGACACCGAAAGTCTGATGTGTGAAACATGCGACAACTGGCTGCATGCGAGTTGTGAGGACGTATCCCAAAACCAGCTGAAAGCCTTCACTGCCAGTACAGAAACGTACATATGTTCCTCATGCAGAACAGAAGATGGCCAATTCGATTATCTCTACGGCATGGCCCAACTCCAAAAGGTAGTTATAAGTTGTAGAAAACAAAATCAAATTAGTATTAACAGCTATATTAATTCTAGTTAAATTGCGTTTTTTAGGCTTATTATTTTTCATATAGTTTGTGACATCTTATTGAGTTTAAACTTGAAAATATGTAATTATCATTTCCTTACTCTGCATACATGTACTTGTAACATTTAATTGTTTCCTTTCTGTTATTTATTTGAAATATTAAAACGTTAACTGGCATTGATTCTGTTGTCTTCTGTTGTTTTTTTTTCAACATTTTATCACATGCCATCAAAGCAGTATTACATTTTTAGTACAAAAGTACTGTTGCATATTATTATAGAAAATAATAAGAGAAACCCTAAATCTAATATACAATAGAACAACATTATTGCTATGTTCTTGGAATAGTATCTTTATTTTTTATTTAAAAAATTCATAAATCAGATTGAAAAACAACGCAAATTAGAAAAATTAACATCAGGTGTGAAAGCAAAACGGTGTAACAACTACATGTCTAGAAGTATGATACGACCATAGATACTTATATTTTGTGGTACTTATAAAATGAATGACCAAGCTTTATACAGCTGAAATTTACACAGCCTATATTTCATGTTCCTTTCTGGTAACACATAACTGTTTCGGTGCCGTTTCGGTCCGATTCGGTCCGTTTCGGTGATTCGTCGCACCCCTGACAGGTGATTCGGGGTCCGGCTTAATGCACATGAGAAAGACGCGGAATCCCAAGGATGCAAAAACTTCACTAGATTAGACCGAAAACATTCTCAGTCCCAAATTAATATATCATATATATAATATAAGATCATTCCACACAGCAAAATCTTATAATTGACAAGGTTAAATTTAAAAATAATCGACTGGAAAAAACATTTCAGTGGGTTGGTGAAGGAAACCATCTGAATACGCCGCATTATCCAAATACATAATGTTATTGTCCCTGAATTAGACTCTGTTCACCAATTTCATACTGTTCTTGTCTCTCCCTAAAATAGACACAATTAAGCAGTTTACGTGGAAAACATATTGTTATTTTTCTGTTGACATACCATCATTATTTATAGACAGTCTATGACCAAGTGTTAAACAAAGCGTAGCAGAACAGGCTATAGAAAATTGTTATCGTATCGTGTATTTTTTGTCTATATCTATTTACCATCTCGTCACACTGTTTTCGACCCCAAGGTTAATAGGATTTTGGTACAACCGAAAACGTTGGTCGATTCTTTAATATCTCGTACACTTCGGTCGTCAGTGCTAGTTCGCTCCACACTGGTTATTTGTCTGATGAAGGTGACCGTGTAGTCATCAGAACGTCACACTCTAATCTTCTACTGGTTGTGTTATAAGAATTTTTATTCTATGATAGCAATCCACAGTTTTCATTTACCTTTCTATTTGTTATAAGCGGATTACTATAAATCAATTATTTCGTGGTATCAAAAAATATTAAACTACAAAATTCTATTTTCATTTATAATTAAGGTTTATATTAAAGGTTTAAAGTATAAAAGTATAGAATATTTACATGCATTAACACTGATAATAAAGGTTTGATAACTTATGCCCAATCCCAGTGTATATATTTGATGCGAATAGGATCCTGTAGGTTTAAACAAAAAAAATATGTCTTAAAGTTCATAACTTGCATTTAATTAATAAAAAGTTGTCACTATTACGTTCATGTTGGTTGAAAGAAATCAGAAAAAAATTAGAATGTGGAGTTTCTAGTCGAAGGGAGCTAACTCCTATCTAAAACTACATTTACTTATTTAAACATAATAATGAGATTGCTCCTGAACAGTATGTCAATTCAATCGACTAACGTAAAAAAAGGCTCATGACAAGGTCAACTCAACCAACTAACGGATAAAAAGGCTCATGACAAGGTCAACTCAATTGACCAAACGAAAAAAAGGCTCACATCACGGTCACTCAATCAATTAACGGATAAAAAGGCTCATGACAAGGTCAACTCAACCAACTATCGGAAAAATAGCTCACATCACGGTCAAAGTAAGGTCAACGTAATCAACCAATAAGAAAAAGACATTGACAGCTTAAACAACCAATGAGAAAAAGGTTATGAGATTATCAATGTAATCAGCCAATGGGAAATGCGTTTACGACATGATCAACGTGATCACCGGAAGGAAAAAAATTTACGATTAAAAGTAATAATAATGATTAGGCACATCGGTACAATTATATTTTGATGATAAATAGTAAAGGTCATTTGACGCGTTAGGTTTACATATAAAAATATTTTTCCAAAGACATCAACGAAAATGAAAAGTAGATTAACCAACCATTGTAAGTCGCATTACCTGTAATCTACATATAGATTACAAGTGCTAATGAATCTGATGTAATTCCTGTATCAGATTACAAGGCTGAGTGTGTGACTTGTGATTTAGCCTTATTACATAATAAATTAGAGAGTCGGTTACCTGAACCCTTTATCTGTATTAATATACAACTTTGCAGTCCCATGTCTCTCCCCATACTTTATCCTACATGTTGATAACAAGACACAAGAAATTTGACCGCATGTCGATAGTCAAACAACATGAAGTATATCAATAAATTTTTATATATTTTTTTTATAAAACCTCAACAGTCTGTCACAGATATCAAGGTATAATCAGCATTAAGCTTGTAAGGTTAAATAGCATATACATGTTTATTGTTTAATCTTTCCGTACAATGTATAAAAATATCAGGCTGTGCGAAGTTATCAAATAACTAGATATCCTTAATCAATGCGAATGTCTCAGAATTACACCAGGAAGTACAAAATAAATAATGCACAATCACAGCACAGGTGAGGATTATCTAGTGTGGATCTGATCACACACAGACAAGAGGTTTAAATATGTATTGCCTGTGTGTAAACAATAGCGGAATTAAAAGTTACAGAAATATCGATTTTTACAGGGTAAATAAAGCAGGGGGATTAGAAGACGTTTTAAGAATACATTGGTTGAAGAGAAGGTTTGAAATACACTGATAACATTAACAAAATAAGATTTACAAATGTGACGTCATCAAGCTTAACTGTTGTTGATCAGAATAGAACTTAAATGTCAGAGCAGTGATTAAAAAACGGACACAAATAAACTGTACAGCTGTATTTTTTTCTGTTGCTATGATTTTTACAGATTTCGTTTATAGATAGTTGTCCAGTAACGGCCATTTTATTTGTACTTAAAATGCCATGAACACTTTCTATGATCACGTGTAAATATGAACATGCCATCATTAGCCGTGTGATTTTGAGAGATGTAATTCCAATTGGTACAGTTCAAACAAATGGAATTTGGTCCAAAAGTGACCGAAGGCGACTAATAGTTTTGAGAAGATTTGAAACATTTTCTTCGGGTTGGTAATGTCAATGGAATAGAAGTTCTGATAAAACAACCAGTAGAAGATTATAGTGTGATGTTTCGATAACTACACGGCCACCTTCATCAGACAAAGGACAAGTGTGGAGCATACTAGCACAGACGTGCGTAGTGTTCGAGATGGTAAGGAATCGACCAACTTTTTCGGCTGCACTATAATCCTATGTATACTAGAGTCGAAAATAGTGTGACGAGATGGTAAACAGATTCTACAGTTTTGAGAAGGTATATTAGCATTATGAAGCTATTGTTGATATACTATCAGAAAAGTAAATATAGATTTAATTTCACCATTGATAATAAAGTAGTATGGCATTTAACTGATGAACTTTGAAGGGTAGATGCATCAGGAGCGTGAGAAATCAGTGTAGTAAGTATTGTTTTATGGGATCGACCGTGAGCCGGCCGAGTATTCATCTCACGGACTACCTCTCGTTTGATGTGTTGAATTATATGTACATAGATCTATATATGTAACCAGTTATCACTACCGTTTATCTTACGGCGACCAAAGAGTTTACATACTGCTGATATGAGTACTGTACTCAAACGTGAAGGAATTCATTGATAAATATCATGACTCGCTCGTGGAAATAAACAGTATTTGCTAATATAGCAATACCATTGTGTATATAAACAGTCACTCGTACTTCTTTGAAGTCGAGGAATCGTTTGATTCCTGTCGAAGTAATTCTAATTATTTGGGAATGAATTCCTTCTGCAACCCTTTTCTATTTTTTTTTACCAAGGACGAGATATACAGTTTTTTTTCTGAAAGGGGCTGTTTTAAGGGTGTTGTATCATGTATCATTACGTCAGTACTAGCTAAGTTTTAGCTTAAAATCGAAACGTGTCAAACGTAAATATTTTTTATTTCATTGAGTTAGTACAATACAAATACAAATAATATATACATCAATTGATAACATATATTAGGAAACCTTCAGTGCCGGCTGCTTTGCTAAAACCAACCTGAAAGTAGCGATTTATCGACAAAATTTCGTTTCGAAAAAGTATAAACAAAAGAAATATTTGTATGGAGACCTCTGAAAATGACACTTAGGAGAAGATCATGTGTTCCGAAAGAATATGCGTCTTATGCTTCATCGACAACATCCGCCATGTTAATATTGTTCCTAGTAGAAATATGCAATGTCATATGTTCTCAAATAGGAGAAACGGTTAACAATAACGAAACTGCAAGGGATACTAACGACCATCAAATTATCACTTTAATTACTACATATAACTATTTCATTTCTGTTTGAAGTCAGAAAAAGGCATTTTTTCGGACACGCCTTAAACAGTACAGTTATAATGACCGCTTCCGAATTTTATTGCAGCCGGTGGCATAGCGTTTTATAACGACATCTTATGGGGGCATAGCATTTCATAAGCACATTTTATGGGGGCATAGCATTTCATAAGCACATCTTATGGGGGCATAGCATTTCATAAGCACATTTTATGGCGGCATAGCTTTTCATAAGCACATCTTATGGGGGCATAGCATTTCATAAGCACATTTTATGGGGGCATAGCATTTCATAAGCACATCTTATGGGGGCATAGCATTTCATAAGCACATCTTATGGGGGCATTGTGTTTCATAAGCACATCTTATGGGGATATAGCGTTTCATAAGCACATCTTATGGGGGCATAGCATTTCATAAGCACATCTTATGGGGGCATAGCATTTCATAAGCACATCTTATGGGGGCATAGCATTTCATAAGCATATCTTATGGGGGCATAGCGTTTCATAAGCACATTTTATGGGGGCATAGCGTTTCATAAACACATCTTATGGGGGCATAGCTTTTCATAAGCACATCTTGTTCTCCATGAAATGAATATTTCAATATTGATGTGAAATACGCTCCTTGCCCTTCCTATCAGCTACATAGTGTACATATTTAATAACATTGTTAGCATTAGTGTCCTATGGCTTGAGATTACTGTCACCTGATACCGATAACATGCTTAGTCCTGATCTGGGTTCAGCGTCATCACAGTTTCGGAACAGGCGTTCAATATGGCCGCATCATTTCCTGCTGTTCGATTGCTGTGTTTGCTCTGTTCTGAGGTGTATGACACTCCGAGAATGCTTCCGTGTCATCACACCTTCTGTAACGGTTGCCTCCAGGATTACATCGGATCTCTCGGGCTTGTAGCAGGGGATAAGGAGTTTCCTTGTCCCGCCTGTGCGCAGATAACTCCCGTGTCAAACAATACTGTTCCCTTGGATGAATGGGCAAGTCTATTCCCGGTGAACAAATTATTTGAGTCTTTGGTCAATACGTCTCTGTCACAGACGACTTCACATTTTAACACCTTGTGTGACCCGTGCAAAATGCTCAAGGAACAAAAGAGAGCTACTTATCAGTGCTTTAACTGCTCCCAGTCTCTATGTGGCTCATGTAAAAACTATCATCAGCGAAACAGATACACAACTAGTCATACACTCAGTTCCATCGAAGCAAGTACCGGTTCATCACCTGGTGGAAACGTCGATATTTTCTGCAAATCACATCCCAGAAAAGTTATAGATATGTTCTGCCGGGATCACAAAGCTCTTTGTTGCTCATCTTGTACCTCAAATAGCCATCAAGGATGTAAAAGAATGACGTCAATTGATGACGTCACACCGCATGGCGCAAGTACTGTTGCTGAAGCAACGACGCGGAAACTAAATGAAATCAGAACACAGATTGAGGAATTACGTGAAATTAAAGAGGAAAATATTAAATCTCTCGACTGCGAAAACGCGAAACTTCTAACGGTTATGCAGACAATGGTGGAAGATGCAAAGACCAAACTTGATGACTTGTTGGAAGATTTTCAGGAAAATCTACATCTTGAATGGGAAGACAATCGCCGGAAACTAGTCTCGGCATTAAGACACACACAGATGTTCTCCTTAGATCTGGACAACAGTTGTACTCTCGTTTCAGTACTCCAGGAAAAATCACTGACAAATCAAGTATTTATCGCCCAAGAAATGGTTAAAGCACAAGTAAAGGCTCACATCCATGACATGAGAACTATATTTGAAAAAGATGCTGATATTATGGAAGTTGACATGGATGTGCATATTGATTTACTTGACGATAAAGCCGTCGAAGCTGTTCGTAGCTATGGTGGCGTTTCCGTTGCGGAAATGAGATCTTCACGCACTTTCAAAATAACAAAGAATCTAGAATCAACTGTTAAAGATATGGATACCATCATTGAGCAGATAATTCCAGAGGAGCCAGCAGACCTGACGCAGCGATCAGTATCAAGGGTTGTAGAGATGCTAGGAGGGAAACAGGCCGCCAAACTTACAGGAGGTGCCCACCTTCCAAGCGGGAAATGCCTCATGGCTGATCAGAAACATCGACGTCTGCTTCTGTTTGACAAAAACTACAAGATCGAGAAAGCCATGCCCATTGACAAACCTCCAAGTGACATAGTATATAGCGACAAGCAACAGAGTGTTTTCATAGCTGTTGGGTACTACTTTGATAAAGACATTTACCGATATAGCCTGGACAAAGATTCCATCGAGTATAAAGATAAACTCAAAGTTCCGAAAGGAACGTGGGGTATTTCCGTGATTGATGACGTCATACTAGCAGGATGTCCTAACTCCATCGAAATGATTTCTGTTGATGGTACCTCGCTGAATTCATTTCCTACCAACGGAGTGTGTACGTACGTGGCGGCCTGCCCACGGTCGAACAGCTTCTGGTTTAAAGATGGTGACAACGTCGTTTGCATGAAGCTAGATGGGACTTCCGGTTTTCGTTATCAAGATGAAGATCTTAGAGGCGTATCAGGGATAGCGTGCGATCAATTTGGGAATGCTTACGTGTGCTCACGCGAGACTGGCCATGTTCATCAGATATTTAAAGACGGAACTGGTGGACGTATTCTCATGAAAATGCAACACAACATAACCCGTCCGCACGGTATTGTGTTCCACCCTACCAGACACGAGTTTCTCATCACTTCCGACGGCGAACCAACTGCATTCGAAGTGTATAAATTTGATTAAAATATACATGTAATTTGACTTGGATAAACTCATGAAATGGGCGCATGCGTCCAAACGTTGCCACATACCGTACATCACATGTCTCTAACGTGGATTTAAGCAACATTATGATCATCTGGACATAAAATGTACGATGTATGTCCATGATGTAACCATGAGCTAGAGGAGATATTATATAAAAAAACTTACTGCTGTTCAAATGGTTTCATATATAGACTTCCCGATATCTGAAAAAGCAAAGCTTTGCTGAGGAATAAAACACACGAAAGTTTTAAAATATGATTTTGTGATCGCAACATTTTGACAATTCAATGTTTATAACTTTACTTTTTAAAGAACGTTTATACAGTGTTTAGTTATTGCTTTGAAATAACAGTCAATAAAGTTGCCTTTTAAAATCTGATGACTTGAAATTATTATCGTTCGCAAACAACCATATAAATCACAGCGAGTCCTTACTGAATGCAGGATGGTAGTAGTTATCGGCTAGTATCCAAATCCCTTGATGTAAGCCTGTATGTTTTACACAGGGATATATATATTCAGGTTGTATGTCAATAGTAGCCTTTAAAGGGAGGGCGTAAGATTTCTGTCTGTGTTCCCACTGCAATAGTCTAAAACTTTGAGACTAAATTTAGGACATTCATCCTTACGTCCAACTTGGTAGCTATGATTTGGTATCCTTATCAAAGGAAGTTTGTGTAAACTTTGACGTCACCAGAACACTGACGTTCGTCGGTGAGACAAAGGCTATAAATAGGACAAGTTAAGAAGACGAAAACTATTATACAGAACTGTTTATCCAACACTGGTTACAGGGTCTAAAACTGGAAATCCAAAACTCTCACACAACTAAAAACTCAGCACGTACATACATAGATACATACACACACACACACACACACATACATACATACATACATACATACATACATACATACATACATACATACATACATACATACATACATACATACGTACATACGTACATACATACGTACATACATACATACATACATACATACATACATACATACATACATACATACATACGTACATACATGTACATAGATACATACATACATACATACATACATACATACATACATACATACATACATACATACATACATACATACATACATACATACATATATATATACATACATACATACACATATACATACATACATACATACGTACATACATACATACATACATACATACATACATACATACATACATACATACATACATACATACATACATACATACATACATACATACATACATACATACATACATACATACATACATACATACATACATACATACATACATACATACATACATACGTACATACATACGTACATACATACGTACATACATACGTACATACGTACGTACATACATACGTACATACATACGTACATACATACATACATACATACATACATACATACATACATACATACATACATACATACATACATACATACATACATACATACATAGATACATACATACGTACATACATACATACATATATACATAGATACATACATAGATACATACATACATACATGTATACATACATACATACATACATACATAGATACATACATACTTACATACATACGTACATACATACATACATATATACATAGATACATACATAGATACATACATACATACATGTTACATACATACATACATAGATACATACATACATACATACATACATACATACATACATAGATACATACATACATACATACATACATACATACATACATACATACATACATACATACATACATACATACATACATACATACATATATATACATACATACATACATACATACATTACATACATTACATATATACGTACATATATACATACATACATACGTACATATATACATATATACGTACATACATATATGTACATATATACATACATACATACATACATACATACATACATACATACATACATACATACATACATACATACATCATATATAGGTACATATATACATATATAGTACATACATATATGTACATATATATATGTAAACATACATACATACATACATACATACATACATACATACATACATACATACATACATACATACATATATACGTACATATATACATATATAGATACTTTTAGATACATTCATATCTTCGAATTTAATTCAACAAGAATTTCATTTACCATGTCAAACGGTTAAACCAATCAGTAATTGAAATCCCGGACACGACAAGTCCTTCTGCTGTAAGTCAGAGGACCAGATCTCCTCCTAGCTGTATGATCAAAATGATTAACCGATTATGAATTTTCCTTTTCTAGATAGCAGCTTTATCTGCTACTTCAAACAATGGCGTTTATATGTCGCAGTTCACTCGATATTCAGTGTCTTCTCAATTTCATGATTTTCGTCCAAAATGACGATGACTTTTGTTAAAATAACCAGAGACATATATAACGTCTCTGTTATATTCAAGAGATACAAGCTGAAAAAGATCACCTAAAGTCGATCGTCACATCTACTGGAAAATATTCCCTTTCCTTGTGGGATATGAAGTCTACCTTTTCAAAGCCCGAGAGTATGTCAGGTCATTTCGCTGTACTTATTGTTCTCATTTGAAAACATGACCTAACTTACTTGGACAGACCAAGATTTACATGGTGCCACGACGAAGTAGGAAGACACCTACCCTTCCGGAACGCGCGGTCTCATTCTTCTAGTACTTTTTTTAAACAATCTACATTGTAAAGTGTGAATCTTTCTTTGGTCAATACTTTCCCATATTTCATCCATTCTGAGTTCGGATAATAATTCAGTTATTTATCTGTATTTTTTCTGTAAAGTTGCTAAATCAACAGATAGTACTTACAGAAAATCGTCATACATAATGCACTATTTTTTAACATAAGGAATTCATTTTTCATGAGCATTTGTAGTTTTACAAAATCTTAAAAACATGCACTCCTAGTAGCTGTTGTGGACATCGGTTACACTCACATTAAATTTCCTTTAGAACCGACTTCGGTGACGTGCCAAAAGCATTTGGTCACGATGGCGATGGCGGCGTGTTTACATTTTTACATAAATACGGCCGATATAATATGTCACTGAGTGGTGCCCATGTAGGGACCAGGGTTACATACTCCCCCTCCAGGAAATAACTCGTCCTGGATTTTCCAGGGGTCACAGCGATGCCGGTGGGGCATGGCTAAGTACTATTCCCGGGTCCCTACAATGTAACAGAGGTCATTTTTCATCTCAATGCCTCCGCTAGGAATCGAACCCGGGACCCCTTGCTTACTAGTCTCACGCTCAACCAATCGAGCTAAAGAGAAGTTCTCCCTAGCCGAGTGGTGTATTGCGGCTAGTAGTTTACCAGGGTTACACTAATAACTCAGTTACAACAAAATTAAATATTTACCTTTAGTATTTGGTGAGGTGTGCCTTTAATCTGATCACGTTTAAAACCCGCTTAGAGTTGAATTACATAAGATGTGAATGTAAGCAGGTGTAATCTCCATTAAGATTTTTTGTATAAAATGTAAAAATATGTATAAGCCAAGTGGGGTGAGGCAAGAATTCCTAATTCAGGGGTCAGCTATGGATAAAGAAAAAAGGAAATAAAACATTTTTTTTTCAACTCAAAACAGTTTTATAATTAAATCATAACTTTCAAACATTTTGATCAGCTTTTCATATTTGTTGATACATATATACTAATCACTTTAAATATCACACAACAGAGATAACTTGGAAATCAACATTGACAAATCAACACATTTTTTCTTCTTTAAATAAACACAAACATCGATCAGAATTTCCATTTATAGCGACAAGTCCTTTTATAATCGCCAATCGTTTGGCAAATTCCACTGTCATTTATATAAAGTCAGGTTTCTTTCGAAAAACAAAACAACAACAACAACCAATTAGATTGCCAATATGAAATTTGACAATCTGCCTAATGATTGAGTGAAAAAAAAACTTCATCAGCGCTGCAAAATTTATTTCTTTCAATTGAAAAAGAAGAAAATAAATGAATGAAAAAAATGAATTGTAATAAATAATGAAATATTGATTAACAGAAATTGTTACATGTTAGTGGTGATATATCAAACAGTACACAAATTCAGAATTTTTGATCAATACGGTTAATTACATTGTTTCTGTTTAAACATTTTTCTAAAAATATATACATGCATTATGTACAAAGTATTGCGCCAGTGGAAGAGCACTATGATTACAGCCATTTTGACAAATTATTAGACAATGAACAACATCATGATTTATAACAAATATCCTTGAACAATAAGATGGCATTACAAAGCCAGTGACTAAAGCAAATCTGATGTTGCTCCAGATGCTTAAAGTTCTTCTGAGACATGCTGTTTGCATATATCTTAAGACATGAAGCATTATCGACTAATCCTTTTGAAAATTATTTCAATTGATATGAAATATGGTCACAATGATAAATATCATCTTTACGGAACTGAATCATAAAAAATGGATTTCACTCTATCAGGTATGAAAATTCCAGAAATTAGAGTACAATGTTTATAACAAGCTATTCAAATCCATGCTTTGATGATAATTGGGAAAGATATTATACAAACACCAATTAAATCCTACCAACTTTTCTTTGGATATCAGTTTTCTCTAATAATAACAAACAAAATGCTGACATTGATCTCTCCAAGGTCTCTGTGCAGTCTTGTACAACTCTGTTTCACTGTAACACTTTCCTTAAGTTTACAATTGTTGTATCACCAAGCAGCTGAGTCACCAAGCTGCTGATGTCACCAAGCTGCTGATGTCACCAAGCTAATGATTCACCAAGCTGCTGATGTCACCAAGCTAATGATTCACCAAGCTGCTGATGTCACCAAGCTAATGATTCACCAAGCTGCTGATGTCACCAAGCTGCTGATGTCACCAAGCAGCTGAGTCACCAAGCTGCTGATGTCACCAAGCTGCTGATGTCACCAAGCTAATGATTCACCAAGCTGCTGATGTCACCAAGCTGCTGATGTCACCAAGCTGCTGAGTCACCAAGCTGCTGATGTCACCAAGCTGCTGATGTCACCAAGCTGCTGATGTCACCAAGCTGCTGAGTCACCAAGCTGCAGATGTCACCAAGCTGCAGATGTCACCAAGCTTCTGATGTCACCAAGCTACTGATGTCACCAACTCAATTGATTTTGTCAGGTTGACCAAATATCGATCTTACATGACTTGTTGAAATGCAGTAAAAAGAATCACTTGATATTTCTTTTATTTTTTATCAGTATTTAAAAGTTTGAAATTCAAATTTTGTATCTGATATAGTCAATTAATTGTTCAAAATAACATTGAATATCACCTAAATACATATTGATGTAACAACTTTTCAACAGAATTGAATATAGGGCCTTTTTAGAGGTACCTAAAACACCCTGTCGCCCTTGATTTTTAAGGCCATGACCAGTAATGACATGACAGAGGTTGGTGACACTGAAGCTGTAGTTGGTATATATAAGCCCTTCAAATTCAAAATAAAAAGGATTTTTTTTTTAAAGACTTCAAGTAAAAAAAACTTCCGTAATAGTTCATGGGTTTGGCTGACTTTGTGTATCATGCACTGTTTAAACCATTGCTTTAATTACTTTTTTTCTTCAAAAAAGATTTTGAAATTTGAAATTTAGTCAGATACACTGTACAGTGGATGTGATTTCAGCATTTCGTGTGATTCGAGTAAATTATCAAATGGCTGACATCAGGTCAACCTAACCGCGTGCAGTTGGGGACTTTTAATATCAGTTGAAAGGATCTGGGACACAAGGTGCTCTAGGCGAAACTTAACACTACATCAATGTATTGAATTATTTGTTAAGTAAGGCGGGACATGGCAATGCTAATACCACACATGGGTACTAACTGAAAAATAAAATTATGTATGAATTTTTGAGATATCATTATGCATGGATATATTTGTTGAAATGCTCCGTTTTCATAAAACATGGGACACCTCTCTACCAAGTGATCATATCAGTTACAAAAATGAATGTACATGTATACCTACATAAGTAGAAGACGTAGGTATAGGCAAATTTATTTTTTGATTTTCAATGGCTTCTACTTTTCACAATTTTTAAGAAAAAGACAAAATCATAGAAAACATGCATGAAGAAATATATCGTCAGTTTTGTAATTTTTGTGAAAAACGTGTATTTTTTATCAAAATTTTTGGAAAACCATGAATTGACAGTACCCATTGTTACTTGTAATTACAATACATCCATTAAGGATTTGTCCTACAACTAATTAGCCTACAATTCACAAAAACATCCACCTAATATCATATCAAATATGTAGTAAAGAAACAAACCAGTTTAGAAAAAAAATACATGTATAATCGATATTTCAAATCTATAGTTGTAGAGGTTTCAGATCATTTTTCATTTTCTCTCTAGTTTAGCCTAAATTTCTTTTACTAAAGATCATTACATATATTTTTTTCTTTGTGTATATCAGTAAATTTGAATACATCAAATTATTGATATTATCATCAGTGAAATTTACTGACATTATCATCAGTGTAATTTACTGATATTATCATCAGTAAAATTTACTGATATTGTCATCAGTGGAATTTACTGATATTATCATCAGTGGAATTTACTGATATTATCATCAGTAGAATTCACTGATATTATCATCAGATGAATTTACTGATATTATCATCAGTGTAATTCACTGATATTATCATCAGTGGAATTTACTGATATTGTCAGCAGTGGAATTTACTGATATTATCATCAGTGGAATTTACTGCTATTATCATCAGTGGAATTTACTGCTATTGTCAGCAGTGGAATTTACTGCTATTATCATCAGTGGAATTTACTGATATTATCATCAGTGGAATTTACTGATATTAACATCAGTGGAATTTACTGATATTATCATCAGAAGAATTTACTGATATTATCATCAGTGGAATTTACTGATATTATCAGCAGTGGAATTTACTGATACTGATCCATCCAACGAAATCCCACAGGATGGTAAATATTGATAATCAGTAAATAATTTTTTTTCTACAATGTCACTAAATAGAACCTTCTCAAACCTGCAAATGCAATTACACTTGTTAGATTAAAAACAGAAATCCTAATAAATGGTAACAAGAGGCCCAGAGGGCCTGTATCGCTCACTTGGCTCTTTCTGACCAACAGTACTATATCTGTGCATATGTTCCACGTTTAACACATTTGACCCCTGTGACCTTGAATATGGGTCAAGGTCATTTCTTTTTGAAAACTTTCTTGGACTTCATAAAGGAACATACTAACCAAATATAATGATTCTAGGCTTTTTGATATTTCAGAAGAAATTGCTTAAACGTTTAAATACATTTGACCCCTGTGACCTTGAAGATTGGTCAAGGTCATTTCTTTAAGCACAATTTGAAGGACACCATAAGAGGAACATATTAGCCTAATATAATGATTCTAGGCCTTCCGGTATTTGGGGAGAAGTTGTTTAAAGGTTTTAACACATTTGACTTCTGCAACCTTGAATATGGGACAATGTCATTTCTATTTGCAAACTTTGTTGGGCTTTATCATAGGAACCTTTCAGCCAAACATAATGATTCTAGGCCTTCTGGTATTTTGGAAGAAGTTGTTTAAAGGTTTTATCACATTTGACCTCTGTGACCTTCAATATATGTCAAGGTCATTTCTTTTTGCAAACTTTGTTGGGCTTCATCAAAGGAACCTTCCAGCCACATATACTGACCCTAGGCCTTCCTGTATTTTGGAAGAAGTTATTTAAAGGTTTTAACACATTTGACCTCTGTGACCTTGAATATGGGTCAAGGTCATTTCTTTTTGTGAACTTTGTTGGGCTTGACCAAAGAAACTTCAAGCCATATATACTGATTCTAGGCCTTTCAGCATTTTGCAAGTAGTCGTTTAAAGGTCTTAACACATTTGACCTCTGTGACCTTGGATATGGGTCAAGGTCATTTCTTTTTGCAAACTTTGTTGGGCTTTATCAAAGGAACCTTCTAGCGAAACATGATAACTCTACGCCTTTCGGCATTTCCAAAGAAGTTGTTTAAATGAAAAGTTGACGGACGACGGATGGACAGACCAACGACGGACGCCGTGGTATGGCATAACCTCACTTAGCCCTTTGGGCCAGGTGGGCTAATAAAACTGTCTCATGCATAAACATGTACATGTACACAACACCGGGCATGATTCTAAGCAAGCACTTAGAAATTAAATTCAATCATGGGAAGTATTTTCAAGAAATTATTGAATTGCTCATTTTTCATGCTTCTGGTAATGGAAAAAATGGATTGAATCAAATCCATACCAAAATATAACATTTTCCACAGACTTGTAAATTCAAGACAAATGAAAACTCCTTAAAACTTCTATATCAAAGAATCAACTTTCAGGATAAGAAAAAATTAAAATCCCTAACAACTGACTTCAAATGACTAATGTGATGTTATGGCTGAGTGTGATATAAGGCTATTGAGGCAATCAAGATTACAAATATAATGTAAAATGAGAAATGATGAGATAGAAATGTCAACAATGGTCAAACATCTCCAATATTCCCTGAAAATGTCAAAAAGATGGACATACCTTGTAAATTATGTATTATCATTACAGTAATTATCCAGCAAGAAACCCAAGTCTGGTAATAAGCCCATCCATACCTGTAATTGTTTAGTAAAATCACTGACAAATATGGGGCTATCAGCAGATAGTTCTATCAACCCTGGTTACATGGTAACCTCAGGTGAAGATCCCAGGTGTGTCATTTGTCTCTCCCTACCTGTGGCCATTTGTGCTGAGAAACCAAACAATCTGTGCTGACTTAAGTTGTGAACTTGGCTACATATTTTAGCATTATTGATCTCGAAAGCATGCAATGGGCCTTCTGTATCATGTTCAATGTGGACAATCTGCACACAATGTTAATGTGCACAATTTGTGATATACATGTATGACGTTATTGCCGATAAATGCTATAAGCAAAATCTATTGGCACCAAAAACATGTTTCCAAAAATAGTGTATGATGGATATGAATGATCAGCATTGTAAAACCTTATATGATTTACAAATCATGTTTTTAATTAAATGCTGCAAAATTTTACTTTCATTTTGAGAAATTACTGTGTTTAAATGGCTGTATAACAACACTGAGTGATAATTAAGCCAACTCAAAGACATTGCAAGTTTCAGTAGAATTGACGAATTCTACATCACCATCCAGAAAACATGTTCAGTTCTTAAAGAGGATACATGTTAATTGCTTGATCGATACAGTATTTTTATCCTGGGTCAGATTTTAAATGTTAAAGTGTGTATTGTAGAATTATGTCTCGATCCTCACAAAACCTCTGTGTAAAATGCAGGTCTATCCAAACCAAACATACAGTGGACAAATGGAATTATAAAAGAGATAGCCATTCCCAAACAATAAAACATAACAAATTTGTACCCAACCTCAACTTGTGGGTGTTTTTTATCTGGTTTCTCTAGACCTTGAATATAGGAAAAAATCCTCACCAGAGGAATCTTCATCAAGAATTGCATGGAGAACAGAATGACTGTTCCAACGAAGAAACGCATTACAGACATCGCAATAACCTTTAAGGTTGGTAATTCCAATTCATAAGGCAAATCTGCATTATTGTCAATAACATTTGTAAAACCTAAATGAAGATTTGTCCAAGCACCCAGGCCAACACCAGCGAGCACAGCGACGATTTGTACTGCATCACCACGTGTGTTGTATGTATATTCATCTCCTGTCTTGCTGCTGGGGTAGAACACTGTACACATGGCAAGGCTGCTTATGAAGATGACCAACGGAGCAAAGGGATGGGTCTGCTGGTACCAGTCAAAGTCACCAACATATGGTATCGTCAGGGCAATTACTGCCAAAGATAGGACTATTCCAACCAGAATATCCTACAACAAATAAATTATGAATTGTTAAAGTCATTTAGTTAATTATTAATGGTTTTTTCAGAAACAGAATAATTTTTTGGTTCCTTGGATACAGGATGGTATAAGGTATATTCAAAATTATTTCACTTTAGTGAAAAAAAAAAAGAAAAAATGATTCTACTTAAATTAGTGTTACTGTGTCCTTATCAAACTGAGCTATTTGGACTAACAGCTAGAGAACTACTGCCACTCCAGTCTATCAGGCTGAGTATATAAATAATTTAATCTAAGGAATATTTCCTGCTTTGAACCTGTCTCTGAGCTTTGATTAGGTCATAAAGTGTAACAGGAAAGATTAAAAACTCAATTCTTTAAGTTCAACGTCCCTCATGATCGTAAACGGGAAATACTTTTTTACGCAGTGTACAATATGTCTTATTTACTTGTGCTGTTGTCCTAATGTTACATCAATTTGTTTCGCATTTTGAGATGCGGTTTCTTTGTGGTAAGTGGTGGCTATATCAATGAACAATAAATGGGAGGCCAATCACATGCTAAATCCAAAGTAATTGGGATAACATTGTCCTGACACTGTAGACTACATGACAATCCATTTCTCAGCTTTATTTAGGAAAAATGTTTTGAAGGAATGACTCATTTAAATTTAAAAAAAAAAAGATATTCATGAAAGATGATTTAGAATTTCTCCTGAGGATTACTATAATAGCCTAAAAGCTGATAATCCTAAACCTTTATCCAGGGTGCCGCCAAAGGAGTAATTTAAAATGAAACTAGAAATTGTTGCTAACAATTTTGCGGGCTTTTCACTTCTTTGGCGACAATCTACCAAAAAACAAAACATTAAATTCATGGATGTTCTGCATCGATCTGAAGAAGAAAATTTCAAGAAAGTTCAAAATTGAAAAAAAAATAAAAATTTGTTAAATTTTGAAAACTTCACCCAACAGCGAGCTTTTTTATTTGACATATTCTCTGATAACATGTCATGACAAAAATTTAGATAAGGAAATTCTCTAAAAATAATATAATTGCACAAATTCTGTATGATCAACGATTTTGGAGATATCGTCGTTTTTAAGTTTTTAACTTATGACGTCATGGCGGCCATATTGTGTTTTTGACCTACTTAAAAATTCGGCATCGACAAGTTCATATACGTATCTACATAAAGGTGAATAGAATGTATATCTATATATTTCAATTTAAAAGATTACGAACCCACAAAATTGGAAGAAGAATAAGAATAATAAGAATAATAAGAATAAGAAACAGAACAAAAACAATAGGTCTTTTTTTTCACCACTTAGTGAAAAGCCCTAATAAAACATGAATACTCTCACCAATGCAACCATCAAAACTCAAGGGTTTCATAAATCTACATGTATTAGTCAACAATACATACTGACCGTATGGATTTGATCAAATCATAAAAACTGACCCAGTCGTTTACGAATAGCTTCAGACCTGAGTAAATTTTACCGACAAGAATAAGACAGAAAGTATGATTTCAGTAAATTTTTCTTTAATAATGTTTAGTGGATTTAAAAAAAACTGACAAAAGGAGTGTGCGGGCCACCATTTAAAATATGTTATGGAAAAGAAGAGTCAACAGACCAGCAAAGCGAATGCTGTACAGTAGTCGTCAAAAAGATCATTAGTCAGATCAATAACACTACAAACATGTATGGATCACTCAAGTTCATCAACTGTTTGATGCTGCATCGATTCTCAAAGAAATAAATAAAACATGTATTAATAACATTTCACTGTTCTACAAAAACCAAAACCGGATACAACAATGTCAGTTATCAAGATTTCTCAAATACTGTACAGTCGGTTCTTTTTCGACAGGTTGATATATTAGCTAATGAGAAACCTGCATATCAAATGTCCATTTACATACAGATTGTGAAATTTTCAATTTGTCGAAATAGAATTATTTCAAATAAAACCACAAAAATTTTGACCTGTTGAAATAACTAGCTGTACAGTAACAAGAATTCAGAGCATTTGTTAAACTTCAATGAAAAACCATTAATTTGCACACTATATAAAATTAATCATAACAACATATTCTGTTAATGTAACATTCTATTTAATATCAAATTTTCTTGTAAAGATAAGTGATGATACCAAGCAGATATAACTGAAACACATATTTGATATGTGTCCCTGAAGTGGACTGGATCTAGTCATCCTTGGTAGAGCGTCCATCTACTTTGCAGGGTCCTGAGTTCAAACCTTGGTCTGTCCGTAGATTTTGGAGGGTCTTGGGTTCAAACCTTGACCTGGCTATAGATTTTTCATTCCTTTTATGTGTTGTGTAATAAGGTAAGTGATTGCGATAAAAGCCCACAACAGTTAAGCTTGCCTTAACTGTGGTCCTTATTAACATGTACCTATGTAGGCTGCCACACTTATCATATAATATTGATTCATCGCTCAACGCTTGTAATACAATACAATGTCTTATCCCCTGGAGATGGTAGATATCTTTCACTGTCATTATAACCACCCATTAATTTTAATGAAAATGTAGAGACAATAAGATTAATTTGTGGATGATTTCATTTTTTCTCGCCATCATGTACTCTCCATCTTGTCCAGGATAGAAAGGTCAGAAATATTGGTATATCTTCACAAGTTTATATAATCTAAACCAGAAATCTGAGAGGTTAGGCCCTATCATGTGTTTCTATCTGTCCATAACTGTTCAGGTTGACATAACACTAAAACACAGGGAAGCAAAATATAAATGTACTATGACACCAGTCTTGCTTACTTCCTCGACCTCTTTATGTTTTCATTGCTGGGCTAAATAAACATCAAAAGATTGCAATAATGCACATTTTTAAACTTCTATTTCGTTAAAACTTTAAATCCCTCTCCCCATGAAGTGATGACCAATCAGGACCATTGTTAGAGGTCTTGCAGCTACATGTATTTGTTGAAAGATGTTGAAGTGAAGTGCCTGCACGGGTGATAGATTACATAAGTAGTACAAGACAGGATGCAAATTCGAATTTTAAGATAAATACCGACTGGCTAGGATGTCTGCGACCTTTAAATCCACTGAGCTGAATACAGTCTCTGAATACATGGAAAATCTGTGATATATATTAAATATAACACAATAGCATGGAACAAATATATTACCTCATTCTTTAATGCAGCCCTCAGCAAATTTTGAATACCAGAATGAATGGACACTATTATATTTCATGTCTCTAATCACCATAAATGTAGGAATGACAAAGTTACATAAATGTAGCTTTAGGCAGATATAAACTGCCATGATGTTGGAATGATAAAGAAAATCTGATTAAATTTCTTGCTTCTAAGGCAAAAAATGCCATATTTTTGACATAATTTGTCAACATTCTTCAACCATCATGCTAAAAAACAGCGTGATGCATGTCTATGATAAATATATGTGGTAAACAGTGCAAAATATGTGCCTGGTGAAGCTATCTTGTCACAGTTGTTCCACCCTCTTTAAACATACATGCTATGCTAATTGCTATATACAGATGTTTCATCAGTTCCTCGATCCATTCAACTCTATCAGTGCTGGACTCGATCAGAAAACATTTACTGTGCTGTTCAAACCTTTGTGTCTGACTTAAAGCTTGTATTTTGTTGATTTCTAATGTTAATTGTTTGGCATCTGTTGTATGTTTACAGCCATCTTCACATTTATCATCATGGCCACCAGTTCCTCTACAAATGTTGAATTTGATAAGGAAAACACTTCTGACCAGATGACTTTAACCTTTGGTGGGTTGAATTTTTGTAACTAATTTTTCTTTTTAATGTTAAAAAACTGTGAAAGGCTACAAAATTTTATCTTGACCTTTGATCTAGTGACCTTGACTTTTAATCAGTTGAATTCATTCTTTAATAATGACAGACTGTGTTTCATAATGTCCTAACAAAATGTTCATCAGTGTAAAGATAAAAACTTTGATATTGACCTCTGGGCCTGATGACTTTGACCTTTGATCTTACATTTGGCCTCATTGTGTATTTTCATGAACTATGTCTTTATGTTCCTGAAAATCATCACTGAATATTTAGGTTATCAGCTTGAGTAACAAAATTTGTGAACAAACAGCTGACCAAGACCAATATGCTCTACTTTGTCCTTGACCTATGAACCAATAGGTCTAATCTAGTGAGCTTGATCATTGGTGACACGTTTAATTCTGATTAATTTTTTCTCCATATTTCTTTAACATCATTTAAATACACCAAATTTATGAAGAAAATAACATTTAATTGAGATTTTCATAAAAAATCACCCTGGAATCAAAACTTTTTCACCCTCATAACTTAATTTGATGAGCCTAATGTGGGAAATTACTTCTTAATCATGAATTTGCAGACCATTTCAATTTGTCGTTTCCTTAGAATTGAATGCATAATTAACTGGTATAAATGATCTTGAGGCACCGACTTACAGATACATAAAGGTGGTTGGGTGGTGTAGCAGTAATGCTCACGCCGCTCACCTAGGCGTCCAGGGTTTGATTCCTAGAATGGACATGAAAAAGTATGGGGTCACCTGCTTGACCACATCCAGGCCAACATTTACAGAGTGATAAATATTGGAAACGGGGAAAAAAAAAACTGTTTCGAAATTGTTGTAAAATGAATAAAGTGCGCAAGACCTTGTTTGAGGTTCATAAATTCTGCAGCAGAGCTGGTTCTTGAACCTTTGACTGTTCCTAAAACATTATTTTGAACCACATTTATATGTCAGCACTTGTTTTCATACTAATGTTAAATTTGTATAAACAAAAATAAATGCGAGCTGATATAAGTCATTGAGTCTTCTTTTATGCAAACAATTACAACTTTTTTATGACTTTGAATGTGACCATCTGGAAAGTTTCCCAATAGGAATTAAAAAGACCAATGAACAAGTGTACTTGTTAATTTAGACACTATTTACCAGTTATAATTATTACATGTGTTAAGCAGTTTAATGATATATCTTA